ATGTCTTTTCGCATGATTGGCAGTTTGGCACTAATCAAAACACAAAGCTCTTAAATCTATGAAGAAACTTGTGGCTTCTTCCCTGTCCACTAAACTCCCCACAACTCAACTGGGTTTTTAATTTTAATTTCAATTAATAAACCACATCATCATCCTCAACATAGACAATGAGCACCCCACTTGGATTCTCCCTAGTTAATGCAAATTCCTGGGGATTTTCACTCGGTAAATCTTGGCTGAAACTTGACAGACATCTCAGTTTCCCACATGGCCAATGGCTTTAGATCTTATCCCCCACAACGGCCAAAAAAGTCTCTCGAAAATTGTATCAAATCAACACTTCTTATTAAAATATATATTATAATTTCTTTCTGGTGGTTTATCAACTTCTTATCATTTCAATCTTAATCCTCCTACTTCGACTTCTAATACAAGCTATGGTTAAACACAAGAGTTAAAAATTCAACAACCGAATAGATGAGTAGATGGCGACTAGGGTTGCTTAGATTTTGTAAATCTGAAGTGTTGAACATATTGCATAATAATAAATTGATAACAGGTGATTTTCTCCTAAACATAAATGAAAGACTTCTTATGCATGCGTAAACATGATATATGGATAAATAAATTTTATCTATTTTAAAAAATAGGTATCTATAGGGAATCCTGTAACATAAACTGGAAATTAAACAAAAGCAAAACCCTTTTATCATGATCACAGGTCCACAAGAGATTAGCTTCAAACTCAAGTTTTTGACTTTATAATAATATATCTAAGATTAGGTTTTATTATTTGTTGTTTGTTGCTTTGATCCGTAACAAATCTTTGGTTGATTAGGGTGATTAATTGCTATACTTAAATCAATAATTGTACCTGCTGCACAGCCTTACTTATCCCTTAAGATTTATATGTATATAGTAATACTTATGGAATCATATTTAGAATATAATGATATCATTGAAACCATTTTCATTAAAACCAACAAGCACAAAGTGGCCAAAAATAGCCAACCTATTTTAATTACGATTAGTACACCTACTCTAACCAAATAAACCATGTATTAATTAGTGATTTGTTAAGCTGGGTTTGTTAGCAGAAATATGATATCGTTAATTAAATATAAATATAAACCCACCAACATAATTGAATTTGTTAAGCTATGATGGTTTGGTTCCATTTTGAATGCCCACTTTCAAAATTATTCAATTTAATCCTTAATAATATTGTACCATTACAAAATTGGAATTAATTTTATAATTTGTCCCACCTGTATTTGTAATATATAAGCTATATTGCTGGGTCAAATGCTTGACAACAACACCTCAACTATAAAAAATGACAACATGATAAATCAATTTGCTTGAAATGAAAATATAATTGATGGCATGTAATGTGAGGATCAATTTTATTTAATTTAAACTAGTTTCATACCTCATTTTTAAAAGTAAACTCTTGTGATGACATGCTTTGCACAGCTTATGTTCACAAGAGAGTAGATTTTGTTATAAGAAAATAAAATAAAAACAATATTATATGTGATATTGTCATCTACAATAATATTGATTTTAAATGAAGAAACTAATATGATGTTAACCTTTCAACTGCTTTATTCAATATAAATTTTATGTGATCTCGATGATCATCAAAGATTTATATTCATAAAACATGTGAATCTTAAGAGAAATATATTAAGTACGTATCAAACAAACTAGAAATTAACATATCTTTTCTCTTTGTATTTTCCAAGGAAAAATATAATAAAAATGCCTAAACTAAACCTATGCATGTTCGACATCACTAATATATAACTTCAAATGCCAAGATTACATGCAATTTTGTTGTCTAATTAAGAAGAGAATAAACTTCATTATAAAAATTTGAAAAAAAAAATATTATTATATATGATATTGTCATCTATAACAATCTTGATTTTAAATGAAGAAATTAGGGTTTTAAAATTTGCATATGATGCTAACCTTTCAACTATCTTACTCGGTATAAATTTATGTGATCTCGATTATCATCAAAGACTTATATTCATAAAACATGTGAATTTTATCTTTCTATGCGTGTTAGACATAAATAATATACAATTTCAAATGCCAAGGTTACATTAGATTATAACCTCAACAGTCCAAGGATCTCAATTAATTAATGAAAATTTGTTACAATTTCGTTATCAAATTAAGAAGAATTAAGGGAAAGAAACAGGAAGTTGAATTTGGGTAAATGCATGAACACCTAACGCGATAATGAAAGGGAACATTTTAGGGTTTAGTCCTCTTTGCTTACGCAACTTTAGTTGGCTTAACTTATTTGACCTGTGTAAGAATTTGTCTTAGTATTTAGAATACTATTTTTGAAATAGTAAGAGTTTGGTAGGAATAATGAGATAAGATTTAAAAATTAATAAAAATACCCTCTAAGTTTGTTAATTTATTAAACACCCTTATAATAAAAACATTAAAAATTATAAAAACACCTATACCCATCCATTAAATACTAACAGCCGGCCACCACTACTAGAGGGTGACCAAAGTAGCTGTATTGGCACACGATCGATTGGATATGACCGATCGTGTACTTAGATGACCCTTTTCAGTCAGATCCACCGTGGATCTGATTGAAAAAAGCTAGATCTACGGCTAGATTTAGCCATTGATGGCCAGATCTAACCACGTACAATCAAAGATATGGTTGTCGTCGATGGTCAACAACGGCCATATCTTGACCGTCTTTAATGACTAACTATAACTGTAGATTTGGCCGTCAAAGGTCAGATCTTTGATCGTAAATCTGACATTTTTATGATTAGATCCACGGTCGATCTGATCGAAAAAGACTATATCAGCATACTAACGATCAGATCCAGTCGATAGTAAGCTACTATACTAGATTTTGACTATCTTTCAGTGGTGGTGACCAAAATTTGACAAATCTTGGTGTTAGGGGTATTTTTGTTAATTTTTAAATTTTTTTTAGAGTATTTAGTTTAATTAATAAACTTAGGAGATTTAAAAAATAATTAAATAAAATATAATAATATTTTTAAAATAGGAAAATAAACGCGTATTTTAAAAATAATAGAAATAAGATGGGAGAAAATATTAAAACAAATGGACCCTATGGAATAGGATAGGGGAAAATTATTATTAAACAGCGGTTGGTGAGTCCTGTTCATTTGAAGCTGCCTTTGTTTCTTTCAGCAGCAACAACACGTTTGAAACATTACAAACCATACAGTTGCCCCAAGGAGAAAAGAATTTGAACAACGAAAGAGAGATAATATCAATACAGATTAAGATATTGGAGGAGTTGGGGTAAGGGACCCAGAGGCCATTGATGGACTGAATAAGAAAGAGAGAAAGACTGAAAGTGGTGACTTTTGAGGCAGAGTGGGACGCCAGTGAATAATAAGAATAAAAGTATTAAACCAATCGCTGACACAATTCAGAGGGTTAACAGCTGGCTGGAGCCTGGAGAAGCTCTTTGTATTTGAGTGTAGTGTGTTGTTGTGTACCAGACGCTACCTCAACCTGGAAATGGGAAGCTTTGTCATCATCCCCACAATGAATATATAATTATATGTATATTGACTATTCATTTCAATATCATCTTTTTAACCCATTTACAAAGATTTTTGAGTGATTAATCACTTAATCAACAAGCCTCATCACCTTCATTATCATAATCTAACCTTTTGATTTTGTGGGTCTATTTCACTTTGTGCGATTCTACACCTGCAATCTCCTTATTAGCTACTCATGCTTCAACAAACGCACTATTAAGGATCTTTTTTCAAACTTATATTCATCAAATTCTCCACGAATTAGTCTCTTACAACCCGAAAACCATTTTTTTAATGCAGAATATAAGCGTCACAATAGGTTTATTAATCTTATTTCTTAATTATGCTAGAAAAATCTATCATTTCATCGTAAGATTAGTTGTGTGGGTTTTTGGATTTTTTTTTTTTCTCGATTAAAATATAAAATATATCCAATTTAAAATCAAATAAGTGCAAAAGATGTGGAGATTATCATATATTTGAAATATTTTGGGGGTAAATAATTCCTATCCGGGTACTTGTGACCTATCAAGGAAGCAATTGCAGGAAGAAACAATGAGCCCACAAGCCTAAAAGCAACGGAAAAAGAAAAAGGAATGACAAACCCACGTGGCAGATGAAGAGAAGTCACTGTCGACCACGTAAGCAGGACGTGCCAGCATGTCAGTGGGTGCCAGCTGGCAGGAGTAGGAAGTTGTAGGAGCAGGAATAGGGTTAGGGGCACTTGGGATAATACAATAGACAAGAGTGGTGGAATGGAGGGAGGCAGGCTCACAGGCTGACTTACTGCCATTTGTTTTATTGGTACAGCTGGCCTTACCCACTATACGACAACCTCTTCTCGAGATTTATGTCGTTTCATATATTCCTTCTTTCTTTCAATTTCAACCCTACAGTTATTTCCAAATTCAAACCCCCCACAACCTTACCATATGACCCACTTTCAAAATTTCAACTCTTTTACCCATGTATCTAAAAAAACACGAAAAATACTTCTTCGTATTTCAAACGCTAATGTGATATACTCTCATTGATGATTCATTATATGAAAATGTACGTATCCAGATTGGAAAAATACTTTTAGATATCATGAAGATTAAAATATTACATTTTGGGTCCTAATTAAAGCACAAATTCAACAGTTAGCATAAGGAGAATATTAGAGCACAATAAATACACAAGTATTGACTTTGTACCATTAATTGTGTTAATGGCTTAAAGGTTCTAGAACCTGAAAGGGTCTTAAATGTAATCACAAATCCAGAAGAAAAAAAATAAAAATTTACTGTTGAAACTCAACTCTGTGGATTGACCAGATAAAAGTAGCCATTAAGCTTAATTAATTAACTAATAAATCCCACTTAAATAAAACCAGCGTCTTTAACAGTTTAACTTATCTAATTAAAAAATGTAAAGGAAAGTCTCTGGCATTGAGCGACCGTCTCCTTTTTAAGAACGCGTACAGAGGCTATTAGACTTCGCGTTCCCGCCGCCCAATCTCTCTCTAAACACACGTTTTCTCTTCTCTCTGAACGTTTCTCGTCGTCAAATCAAACTCCAAAACATAAAGTGAAGCTTTGTTTAAGGAAGAAAGTTTTGTTGCTTGTTTTTGTTTTGTAAAAATGGTTAAAACAAAGAAGCTCTCCTACATATCAGTTCCTTCTCAAATAATAAACTCTTTATCGTCTTCTTCACTTCAAACTCTTCTTGTTTCACCTAAGAAATCTTCAAAAACGAGCTTTACCAAAAGGTTCTTTTCTCTGAGGTCTTACAAGAGCACTAAGTTCTGGTTTTTAACTCTGTTTCTTTTTGGCCTTTTTGGAATGTTGAAGCTTGGCTTCGATCTTGATTATTTGATCCCTTTCTCTCCATACCCTTGTTTCACAACTCAACAGCAAGACTCGTTTTCGGAAGGGTACACAAAACCCCTTTTAAGTTTTGCTTCAAATGGTGAAAACCATGCTCAAAACAGTCTCAAAGATGAGTTTTTGAATGGTAATGGTGAGTTGAGTGTGGTTTCAAACATTGAGGAAGATAGGATTTCGAAGGTTGTAAGTCAACCACAAGCATTGATTTCTAAAGGGTATGCAGAGTCAGATGAAGACGGTGAGTTTTGGAAACAACCAGATGGCATGGGGTACAAGCCATGTTTGCAATTTACTAGAGATTATAAGAAACAAACTGAAGGGGTTGTGAAGAACAGAAGAAAATATTTGTTAGTGGTCGTCTCAGGTGGCATGAATCAGCAAAGAAATCAAATTGTTGACGCTGTGGTCATGGCTAGGATTCTTGGTGCTGCCCTTGTTGTTCCCATTTTGCAAGTCAATGTCATTTGGGGTGATGAAAGGTAAAAGAAAATTAACAGCACATTTAAACACTAACATTACATTAACTCAGAAGGTTTATGTATGATTTGTGTTACTGATTGAATAGCTCTTTTTGGTGTTTTCTTTTGATGGTTGCAGTGAATTTTCTGATATATTTGATTTGGAGCATTTCAAGAAGGTTCTTGCCAATGATGTGAGAATAGTTTCTTCATTGCCCTCAACTCATATAATGACAAGGCCGGTGGAGGAGAAACGAACTCCACTTCATGTTTCTCCTCAGTGGATTCGTGCACGTTATCTGAGGAGGGTAAGATTGTTTGTTCTGTTTATTCTTTAAAGTAAATAAACATGGTTTTGTTCTCTTGCAAGTTTGGTACTAAAAATATTTTATTTAATAGCTAGGATTCACTAATGGCCTGCACGTTGTAATTTGTTTATGAAGTCTGAACAATGTTATTAGTCTGATAATTTTAATTGTCTCCTAAGCCAGGTTTAACATTAAACTGAAGAAGCTTATTAAGAATGTGGCAACAATTAGTTTACAGCTTATAGTGATGGGCCACTTCTCAACATAAGATCATTTTTTGTTGATTCATTCAATACAGTCTCACTTATGTTAAGTGATTTTGAATGTTGGGCGGATTGGCCATTCCAATGGAATATGTTGTCAATAAACTGAAAACCTTGTCCGAAACTAACTAACTTAATGACCAACCTTGGTTTAGAACAAGCCGTTTGTAGAATTCTCTGTTTCATTTGTCCTGTTTGTTTTATTTTTGGGATTTCTTGCCCATTTTCTACGTTAAGACCAATTGTTAGACAATTTTCTCAGTGGAGCTTATCCATGTCTCCTCTTTGTTATTGCAGCTTAACAGGGATGGGGTTTTGCTCCTGCGTGGTTTGGATTCAAGGCTCTCTAAAGAACTCCCTTCTGATCTTCAGAAACTCCGCTGCAAGGTATCAAGTTCTCGTTCTGTTTCTATGCAATTCTTAGAATTCTGTCGCGTTTACAGTTGAGATGTTCAGTCTATTGTTCTTCAAAAATCATCAAAAGATACTGATATTGTCTTTGTTTGACTTCAGGTGGCCTTTCACGCATTGAGGTTTGCCCCTCCAATTTTGGAACTTGGTAACAAGCTTGCAGAGAGGATGTGGAGCAAAGGACCCTACCTTGCTCTTCATCTACGAATGGAAAAGGACGTATGGGTGAGAACTGGTTGCCTTCCTGGTTTGAGCCCCGAGTTTGATGAAATAATATATAATGAGAGGAAACAAAGGCCAGAGCTTTTAACTGCTAAATCAAACATGACTTACCATGAGCGGAAGCTTGCTGGTCTCTGCCCCTTAAATGCTATGGAGGTGACCAGGTGAGAATTCAAACCTAAAATGTGGACATGTGTATACTAACATAAGTAGCTCAAAATTTTCAACTGGTTAACTTTTTCCTTATTCCGTATATTAATTATTTGATGACTGAAGTTCTGATCGTGTGTTATGATTTTTTAGGTTGCTTAAGGCCCTTGGAGCTCCAAAGAGTGCCAAAATCTTTTGGGCAGGAGGGCAACCATTGGGTGGGAAAGAGGCCCTACTGCCATTAACCAGAGAATTTCCCCATTTTTACAATAAGGAAGATCTAGCCATGCCGGGTGAACTAGAACCATTTGCAAACAAAGCTTCCTTCATGGCTGCCATTGACTATATAGTTTCAGAGAATAGTGATGTTTTCATGCCTTCTCACGGAGGAAATATGGGCCACGCGATCCAGGTATAGTCAACATCATCATTCTTTTTTCAGCATTGTTAGTGATACAAGTCTGAATTAGAACCTTAACTCATGTCTTTGCATCCAACACTGTAAACTAATATTTGTTTTGTCTATTAATACAGGGACACCGAGCATATGCAGGGCACAAGAAGTATATAACCCCGAACAAAAGACACATGCTCCCTTATTTCCTCAACTCCTCTCTCCCTGAAACAGAGTTCAATAGGATCATAAAGGAGTTGCACAGCGAATCCTTAGGACAGCCGGAACTCAGAACAAGTAAAGCTGGAAGGGATGTTACAAAGTATCCTGTGCCAGAGTGTATGTGTAAGGCTGGACGTACTCATACCTACTTGTGATCTAATTTCAAAGACTTGAGGCTTCCAATTACAACATGATCACGCCACAACAGATTGCTTCACTACAAATGTTCAAAACTTTTCGGCAAATACCTTGAATTTGAGCCCTTGTGAAAACTATGTACCTATGGTTTTCAGGGCAATGAGGGTTCTCTGGAGCACCATTACGAAGAGTTACGATTGATCTCTGCCAGCATGCTCCTTCTGCAAGTAGAACACTCACGTTAATTCTTGCATATAAATTCTATAGGGTACCATTCTTTAATTCTTTATAGGATTCTTTCTTTCTTTTTTTTTTTCTACAAGGAATAGATTCTTCTTCCTCCATTTCAATCTGTATCATATCTATGTACCACAGGTGTATACGTATATAAAAGTATAATAAAGAAATTTTATTTATTTACAATCTTTTATATACCTTTGTCTATCAAGTTCAATTTTATGTTATGGTTTTTAGTGAACCTTTAAACTGGAAGGAAATAATTTCTGTATTTGGGAGAAAGTTAAAAGAGGTCCCGGGATTTTTGAATTATGAGAACTTTCTTTGCGACCGAGACACTCTAATGCCAGGCTGTTGCCAGGTTTTGGTTTCATTTTCAATGTTCTGTCAACATTCAAATTCTACTTTTGCTGCAAAGGTTTCTTGTCCTGTTTGTTTTGGTAGTTGCCAGTGTACAGCAATTAGGCAGCCGCACAGGCAGATATTTTTAAAGAGCCTGGTCAAGCTTAAGCATATACCCAATAGAAACAAGAGAGGAATTAGAGAGAAGAGAAAAGGATTGGTGATTCATTGTAATGTTTTACCTTTCATAAAACGTTGAAAAGCATTAAAAGCATCCAGCATTTTGCATTTACTTCCAACTATAAATGCATGCTACTTAATGTGCTTAATCCTATTTTCTTTCAAGGAAATTGATTTGATTGGACCGTTTGGGACCACAGTTTACCCTAGTTCCTTAATGGATCTAACCTCCATATAGATGGTGTGTATTATATTTTTTCAGAAATATAACGTTGATTATATTGGAAATGTTTATGTTTCCACATTTTACCATTTGCGTACAATGTGAATCTGGAAGCTCTAAGCCTGTAAAACATTCGTCATGCAATTTTATGTCACTTTCTGCTACTTAAAGTTGCATTTCTAGCAAATTATTTATCAGCAAGAATCATGCAAAGATCAAAAACGATTTTATGGAATAAATTGAATAGCGACATGCCCATTCCTTAAATAATGTTATTAAAAATAATTACAACGGTACAAATTCCGTTTCATGCTACAAAACTTTCTACTCAAAGCTCCCATCCTTAACTCAAAGGAAGCCAACACAGAAGGCTGGAATGACAATGACAAGGCTGTGCTTTTTATTTTCTTGGTGTGAAAAATTTAATCAAGACTTCACTATGAAAGTCTGATTGATCCGAAGCACTGAACAAGATTCTTGTATGTCCAGTGCAGCTCATTCCCAACACATTCTCGATATAAAAATTGTAATAAATACCAAAACAAAGTGTGCATCCATATCTGGGGCAGCATCTAACTTCACCGCAAGAAGACTTATCAGGCAGCATTGCAACTTGTCTGGTTGAATGTGAACGAATGGAAGGAGTTATTAGCCAAAAACAAATCTCGGACAACAGTAGACTCATCTGTGTGCCTTGGATATGTCTATATAGCCCCAGCAAAACAAGGTACTTCTTTTGAAGAATGTGGCCAAAATGGTGAAAGTGAAACAACATTTCCAATGATGATCAATGTTGGTGATAACAATTCTGCCGAAGTAATTTCATGAGCAAGATCCTTCAATTCTGCAAAAACCTGCACAATTGCAAATGCATGTAAACCAGCAGCACCAACAACAGGAGAACTAGATATGGAACACTTTAAAAGGTACATCCCTGAAATAGTTGCTTCAGGTTGAAGCTCAAGAGTTCTAACAGAAAATAATTGCAACAATACTTAATATAATTTCTCTAGTGCTGACTTAATTAGTATCACCTTTGCATCTAATCAATCATGAAATGTCTCATAACGATGAAGAAGCATTTGGAAGCCATATCAAAAGGGACTCTTCTACTTTATCTTTTACAAAGGAACCTTGTTCCAACTGTTTGCTATATATATATATTTATTTAGTTAGTGTTTTCAAAAGCTTTTTAGTTACTTTCAATCAAGTTTCACACTATGCCTAAATAACATGAATAGTAATAACTTTTACCAAGTATACCCACATATAGTTCATTAGTTATGCACTTAGGAGGATTTGAACATCTACTCATATCATGTGAATACATTTTTTTTCCAACAGAGCTTGATGAGTTAATTGCTAGATGATTTGATGGATTTCATATAATGATGTTAAACTATCAAGCATACAGATTTAAGAATCAACCTTACAAATGCTATAAACAAAAATAAACCTGGTATCATTTTAGTTAAAGTGTTTGGTATGAAACAAAACGGATTAGTTAAACATACACAGCAGGATTAAGCTCAGGGTGAGAAATTAAAAACTAGTCTCAGATTTTAATAAGGTAAATAAAAACCTGACTTCTAATTGAAGAACTAACATACTTAAAAGACTACACACAAGCACACCCAAGAACATTGCACAAACACAGACATGCACACACAAAACTTGGTATCATGCTTACCACACGTTGTTGAGGTGTCGTCCCTCTCTCAATTGCAACAGCTGGTGTATTTGATGGCAGACCATGATGCATCAACTTCAGGGCAAGAGAAGGGAGGGTTGACAAGCCCATATAAACAACCAAGGTTGAGTCAGGGTCTGCTGCATTCTCAGCTACAAACAGAGGATCTGCTCCACCCTTTCTTGAGTGCCCTGTGAGAAATCTAACACTATTTGCAACACCTCGGTGTGTTAATGGAATCCCTAGCTCTGCTGCAATCCCTGAGGCAGCAGTGATACCTGCAAAACAGCCAATACAACAATCATACTATTGGACCGGAAAAAGGCTTCACTGCCTTCTAAGAAAATTATTTCCCCACAGGACCAATAAGCTACTTATAGCAGCAACGGAACAAGGAGGGCACTGTCAGAATGGAAGGAGTTGAATATGGTATCATATAATTACCATTGAGTGAAGACAGGATAAATTGAAAGAAAACTCTTGATTTGGTGGAAAGATTTTACACCAAATTCAGAAGGGCATTATATCATTAAAATTTGTCATTCTGCATGACAATATTCGCGCATTCCTTTATTTGCAGCCTCAATGTTACATTCCAAATGAATCTCAATGAGACAGTTGTTAGTTTCCAGCAAAGCCAAGCCGGCAATTTGGCAATAATCAGCAGAAAGTTGAACCTTTTAACCAGAAATCCATATTATTTAAATGTTACAGAAACTGATAGCTGTTTTGCAAATTTAAAATCAACTTAAATTTTTTTTCTAAGTAGATATAAATGAAAATGCTAAGGACAAATTTCAGTTAATCCTATAGTGCTTGTCTTTCCATCCACGATGATCAATATTTTCCACCTTCAATTGAGACAGCAAAACATACCCTTAATAATTTCAAAAGAATTAGAGAAACTAATGTACTTCAGTATACCTGGGATAACCTTCACTTGAATTCCTTGCTGTTGCAGAAAATCCATCTCTTCTCCACCCCTCCCAAATACCTATACACTCCAACAGTATCCTTCAGAGAAAGCTCGACTAAACAGCACATTGCATTGCAATCCGAAACTAATTTCATTAAATTCCAATCATTTATCACATCTTAAACAGAAACTTACCAGTGGATCTCCCCCTTTGAGTCTCACAACATTAGCTCCAACTTCAGCAAAACTTAGAAGCAACTGATGTATTTCCTCCTGCAACAATACCATCCAGAAATGATTCTTTTCCCCCTCAATATGAAACCAACACAATACCAAACCAAAATTATAATAAAAAGATACAACAATTTCCCAATTCATAAAAGCACTACAAAGATTTAAATTTCAGATAAATCAAGCAAAAAGTTGTGATTTTTTTTTTTTTACCTGGGTTCTGCTATGGTAACCAGCAGTTTTGCCAACATATAGAAGTCTAGCATTTGGACCCACCAAATCAAGAACATCATTTGAAACTAACCTATCATACAACAAAAGATCAGCGTTTTGTATCACTCTCATTGCTTTAACAGTCAACAATTCAGGGTCTCCGGGCCCCGTCCCCACCAAATACACATTTCCTGGCCCACATTTTTCACCTTTACCATCACCACACTTTTCCTCTCGCTTCTCTCTCAACACCTGAAGTAGATTCTTCAACTCTGGCAGCTGCAAAGCGATGTCGTTTTGTCTTATGGATTCTGGGTCAGAGGAGATAGAACATGAGGTGGGTTCTTGTTGTTTAACATTATAAAGCCAATTGTCCCTTTGGTATCTTTCTAACGAGTGTTTCTCAGTAAAAGGCGAAGAAGAAGAAGAAGAGCTTTTGAAATGCAAAGAACAAGAAATGGTATTTGGGTTGACGGGGTTAAAAGATTTGGTGTTTGCAAAGGAGAAAGAAGAAGAAGAAGAAGAAGAAGAAAGGGAGACTTTGTACACGAGAGCCATCTCAATTTGGGAGGAGGAGCGTCACAGAGACAAGAACAAAGATGGTTATGAGTCTAAATACATGAAGGAGTTGAGAGTTGGAGTTTGATTTGAGTTGTGTTTTTGGGAACATGAAGAGGCAATGAGACTAGTTGAGTTGAGTTGTGTAGCTTTTTGGGTTTGAAGAGGGACATGTTCTTTTGGGGACTTTGACGGGGCTTGTGCCTTTTTGTTTTTTAAGAAAGGGCACTAGGGCAAAGCCTCATATGCTGTTTTCAGTCCACAAATTGAGTAAACGACATATTCCCACCCAAGGTTTGACAAAATCTCAAATTGGTACCTCAAGTTCCAATTATTTTAGATTCTCACCCTTAAAGTAACGAAAAATGATTAGATATAACGGCTCAGGGGTAAATTGGTCATTTCATAGAGGAGGCGCAAATTAGCAGATCGACGCCCCTAACAAAGCTCCGGTGCATGTTAGCCAACATCACTGCCGACGTTTTTCACCCTTTTCCGGCTATGCTTCCACCCAAAATCACCCTTGTCACCACCATTTGAACCCTCATCCTCCCCTCTACAAAACTTTACCCTTCACAACCCCTCATCACTCGTCGATCGCCAGCCACGACAACCGCCACATGCCCTTGGTTTTCTTTGGTCTCCGCCGGCGAATGGCCACTAAACGGTTGCTGGGGACATAGGGGTTTTGTAGATTTGGAGACATTGGTTGTAGTGGTGATGTCCAATTGGATTTTCATCACCAGAATTTATCGGAATCTAGCGAAGAATGATGAAAACCTAAGCCTGACAGCACCGACGATTGGAGGGCCTAGTGAGTCAGGAACCAGATGGGTTTTGGACAATGGACGATGGGGAAGGTGATAGGGGTGACCAGGGGGTTCGCCGCCATCGAAAACAGCCTAGATCCGATGAAAACCGAGACGATGCGTAGTCACTGAGGGTGTAATTGAAGTAATTTTAAAATAAGATGGTTAATTATAGTTTTGGTAATTTAGGGTTAAAATATAATTTATTAATTTAAAGTTAAGAGCATTATGATAATGGCACTTTCACTACCCTAAAAATTATTAACAGTGTTATTTTAAAGGTGGGAATCTGGAATAAATGGAACTTGGATACCAACTGGGATTTCGTCAAACCTTGGGTGGGAATATATCGTTTACTCCCACAAATTTGACAAACTTCGCTGAGAAACCAATCAACCACCTCATAAACGAAGCCATCTCTACTTTAACAAGCACATTAGTCTATATATATATATATATATATATACACGTGTCTGTGGGCTTTCAAGCATTGGATTAAGCCATCACAAAGTCCAACTCATTCAACTGTGTAGTGGGCTAGGCCCAAGAGGCAAAATCGTGTGGGAGAGATGAGTGCTTCTCCCAAGCTTATTGGACTGGAGATACAATGATATATAATCAATCAACAACATAACTATAAAGATTACAAATAAAAATGTAAAATATGCTATTATTTTTATTCAAGGCATAGACAAATCCTCAAATTACACAAATAAAATAATTGAAAAGCAACCAATGAAATGTCCCCCTCTCTCAATTTCCCAAATGCTTATTTCTGAGCTTGATGCTCTACAAGCGAGAGAACTGTGTAGCAGAAGGGAAGTAAGGCACAACCAATGGAGCTCCAGAAGATGATGATTTTGATTTGCTTTTAGATTTTTCCTGTAAAGAAACTTTCATCCCCAGACCCCCGTTATTATCCGACACTCGTGAAGACTCCGAAGTAGGCATGAAACAGCTTACAAACACAGACAACACTCCCATTTTTTTTCACTTTTATCAAAGGGGATTAGAATTAGAAGCAAGCAGTTTAATTTAGTTATGAATGAAGTTTTAGGTAATACGCTGTGCAAATTTATAGGGAGATGGTAAGTTGGGTAACTTGTAGCTTTTGCCATAAAACGTTAATGGCAAGAAAAGACTTCTCGTGGTGGGGCAGTGGCTACTTTGACTGGATTATAATTCTTTGAATTTGGACCATATGTTTGTTGAACATCTCTTTCTACAACGAGGTTTATCAGAAACTTTTGACTATAAGACGAGCTAAATAGACTACCGTCATTGAATTCGTATTGAAATTTCCACTTTCCTACGAGGGAAGTGCAGAACATTCTGCGTTTGCATGTCCCCACCAATTAAGAAAAAAGAAAAAGAAAAGCGTATGGCTTCGTTTGTCTTTAATTACACGTGAAAGAGCTGATTACTTGTTTGAAAATAAAAAACAACGATGGGAGCTCCAGGAGATTTTGGTTCTCTTGGGCGCGCAGCTTGTACTGTTACTGGTCTGGAGCTTCCATAATCGTTGGCTACCCTCGACAGTGATTTAGACATTAAGCAACTGCAAATGGTCAAGAAAAGAGCCATAGTTACTAAAATGATCTATGAATTGAAGAAGAATCATGTATTTATATAATATAAATTGTAGTTATTTAAATTGATTCCTCTACCATCTAGGATTGTTCAGTTTGCAACCACCAATATGTGTATATAGATAAGTCCGAACTTATTTTTTCAATATTTAGTCTATCAGTCCATCTCTTTTATAGAAGCTAAGATTTTAAGACTATGAAATAAAGAATTAAGTTTTGCATATATTATGTGATGGCTTTTTCTGCATTTTATTGGATGGCCAGCATACAAGAATACAAAGCAATGGTTACAAGAGCCATATCCAGAACGGCTGAGGATTGATTCCTTTGGAACCTTGGTCTCATCTTCTTGGATTTTAGCTTCTTAGTAAGAAGCACTGGCATCCAACAGACATGAACACTAGCTAGCTAGCCACAAAAACTTGAATAATTTGTCATATGCAGAAATTGCATGAACGACGCCATCCCTTGATCCTCAGATAGGATTTGACATTATTGAGAGACCAACAATTAGTGGCTTCTTTGACTGGGAACCCAATAGATGAACCCACATGTAGAATATCTATCCATTGTTTGTTAAGTCTTTCACCATCTACCATAATATGATAAGCATGACTATATACGTCACAGTCACTTTGAATGCGAGGTAGCTAGACCAAGTTAAATGAAACGTTTGCACGCGGTTCCTCTGATTTGACCTGGTGATTAATTAATTGATTAGTTCCTATGTCAATTACTTGTACAACACTCAGTTATTTCTTAATTTCTCTTGTTGCCAAATGCAAGTTTCCAGGTGATCTAATTGGTCTTAAATAAAGAAGGCATCGTTGAAAAATGGCTTTTGGCAAAATCAAATAGGGTAGAAATGATAATAGAGAAAGGTTTAAAGACTTATATGTAATAGGCGAAAAAAAGTTAGTTTGTCCTACATTGATTAGGATTGAAAAGTAAAAATTTTTGGGGCCTATATATGAGGACCCAAATCATTGTTATTGGGCATCCCAAGTTATAATTCCATTATACTTCTTTTGTTTAGAATTCTTTCTTTAAGGACCCTTTAGTTTACAAGTTTTATTGTATCTCCCCTTTGTTTTGGGTATTTATTGTATTACCCAAAAGTTTGTAATATTGTTTGGAGATAATAGAATTTTCTTTTACAGCGCCAGAGGACGTAGGTTTCAATACCGAACCTCGTTAATTCCTGGTATTCTTTATTTTTACATTTATTTTTGGCTATTTATTTATGCTTTACTACTTATTATTATTATATTCAATAACTAGTATTAGAGTTTATGTTTCCGTTGCATAACAGGCATTGTTTAACAACAGAACACTCTTTTCATTTTTTTGGCACAAAGGAACAATCAATAATATTAATAAGTTTTATACACAGTACAAATGTGGGAGAAATTACAGAATGGTTTTGCTTACAGCAGCCAGCAGGACTATGTAAATATCAGGCGTCAAAGGCAATAGCCTCGAATAATATTAGTAATTGAAATAGCTCGCATGATTGGGCTTCTTCTATCTTCGTGAGGCTGCAGAACCAGAGATATTGGTCCACAAATTTATCTGCCACGTTGGGTAGATAGATATCCTGCTTTTACAGGCGAGACATGTAGGAATTAACGGGGAAGTAAGAAACTACAATGGGAGCCCCAGATGATTTTTTTGATGATTTGCGTTTGGTTTTGGAAGAAGAATCCTTAGAAGCTTTCACCGCATCGTTATCAGCTACTCGAGATGCTGAAGATGGCATGAAACAATTGGAGATGGCAGAAAACAAAGCCATTACGCTTAATTAATTTCTTCAACCAGAAACAAAATTAAAGCTTGATCTAACTGATGGAAGAGTCTTCTCCTTTTCTCTTGGGTTGCTTAAAAGTAGAAAGATAGCAAATTAAAGATGAGAGTGTTAGAAATGAGATGGTAGTATTTATAGTGTGAAGAGAAATGGATGAACTTGCCGAGCAAGCCAAGAATAAGCAGGTTAATATCGAGGAATCTTCCCCAATACGTAATTGTGCTGTGGGGTGTTTTGACCAGGCCCAATGTGGTGCCTTTTTGACAATGAGACATTAAATATTTGTTGAATTCTTTAAAAGGGTTTGGCCTTTCGTTGAGAAAAAAAAAAAAAAAAGAGAATTCTGACATTAGATTGGTGATTACGTGGCCAGTTCTGACATCCCACGTGTCTATCAAAGAGGATATTTATGTTAATGATAAATCATCATTTTACCTTTTTTATCTTTCTTCCCACAAATTATGATCTTTAACCTAAGATTTTCATTATTATTAAAAAATACTATAATTCTTGGTTAAAAATTAAAAAAAAAAAACCATTTTAGAGTAATAGTTTTTAACTATTTAAATAGGTCATTATTTTTGTAAGAAAATAAAATAAAATACAAATGTTAAAGTTTTTTCAGGTGGTCGGCTGCCGACAAGTTCACTTTTTGGAGATTTGAGGGAAGCCCTAGTTTTGTATTGAGTGGTGACTCATCTCATTCTCTTACAATTTTATTTCCATTTAAATAAAGTTTTAATTGAATTTTCACCGTCAATTCATTATCATCCATCCAAATATAACATATAAACCCAAGAAACCTCTGGTGTTAGCTTGAAATTTTTGAAGTCATTTAACTTGGTGAACAAGGTGCACCAGATCTTTTCATAAATATTTTTCCACGCAGCTTCCCAAGTAGGTTAGAATTGTGTGGTTGCTTTGACCAGGTCTCATCTTCCAAATATTTATAGCGAAAAACAGCCGCCGCAACAATTAACATTTGCCACAATAACCACGAGTTCTACTGTAATATTAAGTCTCGTCTTAAACAAGTTTTACAATATGCTTCTCAAGCATCCAGAAATGGTGTCTGGATACACAAACAGTGCTTATTGACATATACAATTTTAACTTGGAATAAAAAGCCAATACATTCCTGGTATGGAAATTAATAATCTGAGATAAATCAAATCTAGAAAGACTTTCTTGTCATGTCGTCAATCTGAGAGGAGTCTTAATTTCTACTGCTCCTTAAATTTGGCTTCATCATTCAGTGCCAAATACTGACTGCTTGATTATCTCCAGGGTGAACTCCATAACGCAATCATGACAGCATAGAAATTCATCAGTTTTCCCGTCTGGTATACATCTTCTTGTTGTTGTTGTAGTAGTAGTAGTAGTAAAAGCAAGCAAACTATTAGGTTAACTACAAGCGAGACAGCATAGAGTTAACAGGGAAGTAAGGAACTACAAGTGGAGCTCCAGATGATTTTGATTTGCTTTTGGATTTATCCGAAGAATAAACTTTAACAACATCATCAGAGACTTTGGAGGATGAGGATGGCATGAAGCAATTCAAAATGACTGAAAACAAACCCATGATTTAAAGCTGCTATAATTAAGTTTAACTACTCTCGGTCTAATGCAAGGAAGATAAGATGAGTATGAGGAATTGACAAGAAGCTAAACGTATTTATAGAGTCTTCGAATGAGAAATGAAAGTGGAAGAACGTGTCAAGCAAGGTAGACCCGTGTTGTGGCTGCTGCTTTTGATCGAAAAGTCCAACGGCTGAGCTTGGTATTTTATGCCCCACCATCGTTATGACTGTTTAAAAGACTTTCTACACCGAGTGCCTTGACTTCTCGGAGGACAAAATTTTACCATGGCTGCTCTGCTTTTGACTACATCAGTCCATATTGAAGACCATTAACAGTAATTAGTAAGACTAATTTGTTATGCTCAATTACTTGTAAAACACTTAATTCAATTTATTTTTTCTCTTATCACAAAATGCACGTCTTATGTGATCATCAAACTGGTCATGCTTACCTGACATATTATTGGGCTAAATTGTCTCAATATATATAGATATGTTTGGTGTAAAATTAATTAATAAAAGGGCAAATGTAATTTTGTTGTGTCACGTATATATAATTTTAAAATGAATTGAGGTGACGCAAAACATTGTGATGTCATTGAGCAGAACATTTAAATACTTGAAGTTTAGAAGCTTAGCACTTGATGCGTTCTATTAAATAACAAGATAATCAGATTTTGTTATTTAATTAAACATTCATTCTATTTATCTGAGTTTAAATATCATAGTCAATGTACAACATTAATGGATAAGAAGGAAAGATAATCAAATTCTATTTATCTGGTTGTATTTTTGTTTAAGAATCATATTCTTAAAGGTAAGCATAAGAACTAATTTCTTTTTTGAGATAAAATGATACCCACAATTATGGAATTAGAATATCAAAAGTAAAGTTCGAAAGTAACAATAGAAGGTTTTAGGTTCGATTTTTTGTCTGAGCATCCGCAATTTAAGCGAGGAATGTGATGGTGGGTTGTTATGTTAGTTTTCTCCAAGGGTTCAATTTTTTATCTGAGCATCTGCGATTTAAGTGAGGATCATGACGATGGGTTATTACGCTAGTCTTCTCGGAAAATTAGTGGAGATGCGTATACACCGGCTCAAACGCATTAGTTAAAAAAACAAAAAAAAAAAAAACAAGGGCATTTTAGGAATTTAAACAAAAGATTTCACTATAGAAGAGTATTGGCTCCGTTTGTTAGAGAATTTTTTAGTATTCTATTCCCTATTCTATCCAAAATACACATTTATTCTCTTATTTTCAAAATATTATTCTATATTATTCAATTTCCTTTAAACCCTCTAAATTTGTTAATTTAACTAAACACCACCCAAAAAAAGTTTTAGAAATTGACAAAAACACCACAGCAACCCACATTTACCAGATTCTGGTCACCACCATCGGAAGCTGGCCGAAATCTGGTATAATAACGCACTCCTAATTGAATCTGGCCGATAGTGCGTCGATCTAGCCTTTTCCGACCAATCATCAACGAACGGCCAAGATATAGTCGTCATTGACCATCAATGACGGTCGTATCTTTGATCATCGTTGACAACCCAATGCAGTCAGATCTGACCATCAATGGCTAGATCTAGCTGTAGATCTGGCCAAAAAAGGTCATATCGACGCACGACCGACCAGATCCAATCAATCATGCATTGATACATTGACTCCGGCCACCCTCCGGTGGTGGTAAGTGGCCATATCTCCCTATGTTTGTGTATTAAACAAACAAAGAGAGATATTTTTATTTATTTCCAAATCTTACATCTAATACCCACCCAACTTTATTTTTTTCAAAATATTATTCTAAAAAGCACATAATAACGAGCCAAACGACCCAATTGCTTGTGTTGAAGTTATCTTCTTGTTCATCCAAACAAACAATACAACCGAAGCTCGCCCTTAGAAAGCTGAAAAATGCCGCTCAAGTTGTCAGATGCAAACGTTTCAAGCTTTGATAATGTATTCGAGAAGCTCAAATCGGAATCTCCCAACCACAAAGCTAATTTTATTCTCTTCTTGGCTGACAAAGACCCTTCTACTTCTCTCAGCTGGTGCCCTGGTATTTTTTTTTAACCTTTTTTAAGGGTTTTTCTTTTATTCAAACATGTCAAAGTTTTTATTGGTATATTTATGTTAAGATGATATTTGGAGCAGTAAAAGATACCCTTTAATAGACCTTTTGTGACTTTATTGTTTTAGATTTTGCAATTACATTTGGGAGTTTAAATTTATAAATTTTAGTCTTTGTAGGTATTGAGATATTGAATTATCAAGTTTGTAGGTTGATGGCTGCAAAAGTTGAAATATTTTGATGATTTAGATATACAGAAGCATACGTCCTCCACTAAGTTATGATAAAGAATCATGCATTGAACCTTTGAGTGTTGTTAGTTTTGGTTCAAAAGATTAGTGCAAAAATGGGGTTAGATGTGAAGGAGAATCTTAGTGATTAACCAGTAGTTTCAGTAAAGGGCGTCATAGAGATACATGGATATAAAGTAATAATATATCTAATTGAAAGATTGTTATATGATGGAAGAATTTTGGGAAGCTTTATTATGGAATGATTTCATTGGAATCAAAACGTGTTGCTAAAATGTGTCAAAAAAATTTCCAAGGAGAAATGAGGGAGCACTCTATGGTTGTTGGGCTATTCATTAGATTTTAGAAGAGCAATTTGGTAATTAGCAGCTGAAACACCAATGTCAGGTCACGGATTCTATTGCTATCATTGAATTTTCTGGCTTTAAGATTTGTATGAAAGCAATCTAAAGGAAGTGTTTATCACTGTTTGTTTTCATTTTCTTGTCTGTGGAGATGAGATTGGGTAGGGAGGGGTACCGAAGGTGGGAAAGAGTGGAGAGAGTTCAAACAGACTAACAGAGGACATTTTAGAACTTAAAGGGAATTATATGCAAAGATTTAAAATTGAAGAGGACACAATTTGCAACTCAGGATAGAAGTACTTAGTTGAAACTATTTTTCTTTCTTCTTAATCTCATGTATTTGGTGTTTTGAGCATACCCATAGTGGACAATTCATACATTGGAGGGGAAAAGTATAGTATTTATGGGAATTGAAATGAACGCATTACAATTTTACTTCAAATTTCTTTAGTGTAAAAAGATTTTTGCAAAGCATACTGTGTGAAAAGTGTTCTGCAAACAACCTATCTATTTTCTTTGCACCCATAATCAACTGCTACAAACAATCTTGTGTTGGATGAACTTTTCAGTTCGTATTCTGGCATTTGTTTTTAAGGCAAAGAAGGTTATATCATCAACCTTACCTTCTACAAAAACCGACTTTATTGTGGATACATGACTGCTTAAACTGTTGATTGTGGTGTTATTTGTTTTCTTTTCAACTAGTAGGTGTAAACTATATTTTCTTTTTTAATCTGTCTTAGACTGTGTGAGAGCTGAACCTGTGATATACAAAACCCTGGAAGCATCACCAGATGATATAGTGCTTCTGCAAGCTTATGTTGGAGACAGACCAACATGGAGGAATCCCCAGCACCCATGGAGGGTCGACTCTAGGTTCAAGCTCACAGGAGTTCCAACACTCATCCGCTGGGAGAATGACACAATCAAAGGTCGCCTTGAAGATCATGAAGCCCATATCGAAAACAAAATCAACGCCCTTCTTTCTGCTGATTAAAGTTCCTGTATTTTCACATATGCAAGATGGATGGGATGCTATATGTTTTAATTCCATATTAACAGTTTACCGGTTTGTAATGGTGCACTTCAGTAGCAAATAAATAAAGCATCTATCGGTACAATGCTTTAAATCAAAGCACAGCAGCCCCTTGTGACTGGAGCCAGGGAAACTTATCCCTTCTGAATTGATGCACTAGTTTGAGAATTGTTTAACTCAAGCAAAAAGCAAAATAATTCCATAATATTATTGAAGGGGAGCATTTAGTTACAGAAAAACCAAGGAATATTTCAGTAATTACATTAATTTAGAACTCCCTTGTTGATTAAATCAAATTAAGTTCACCTCTAGCAGGAGTCTAAATAACTGAGACACTACATTTGACTAGATTAAATTAGCATCACCTCTAGTTGTCTATATTTTTACAAATGCTACAAAAACCTTTTTCTGCCACTCTGACTTCTACCTTTATACAAATGAAGGGCCCCCAAGCATGTTAGATAACTTATATATAACCTCATATATCTGCCTTTGAGAGCGTTTCAGTCAACTTTAAAGTAATATCACCATAAGGCTCTTCTTGCTGCACATCAATAAGTCCATGGGTCTTCAAAACCTGTAATCGAACACGAAAATTACATATACATGGCATTTTGCAGCAAGTAGCATGAACTTCAAAAGGATATGAAAACATAAAAAAGCTTTATGTTCAACAATCTTTTTGAAAGGAAAATGCCGGTTTGGAAAATATCATCTATAATATGCATATGGTACCTCCAAATATTTAAAGCACTTTCTCTTGCATTTTTCCCCAAACAAGAATCATGCAAATTACAGTTAAACAGAGAGCTTCTGGAAATTACCAACGTCTCAAAAAACATTCTAGCACACAACTTTCTTGTTTTCGCTGTTAAGATCTTGTTCAAACTGAGTTGCCCAGATGGGTCTTCTAAGACCGCAGTAATAGGAGAATGTTGTTTTAGATATTGAGCCACAGCCCTGCATAATAGTAAGATAAAGTAATTTAGCAGGCCAGTCAAGGTAATAATCCGTTACGATGAAAGTTTCTTATTCTTAAAAGAATAGGCGGCAATTACCTGGTTCTCACAGACAGTGAGTCAACTCCTTGACTTACTTGGGATCCTGCCATAAACAAACATGTCAAATATTAGCCAAAAAAAAAAAGGGATGTCTATGAGTTTGTACATTCAATAACTTTCCATTGTCGTTTAAGAACCAATGATAAGCACCTCCCAGATTTTACAGAGACATCCACAATAAAAATAGAACTTAAATCTGACTTGGCTTACCTGTTGGTGTATTGTTTTCTGCTTCCAGGAAACTAAGGTCCTACAGCATCAGAGTTCACACCATCAGAAGTGTAACAAATTTAGCAGCAATGGGATGAGAACCAAGAAAGAGCTTCAACACATGAGTCCCGAGACTCAGTGTCAATAAAATAATTCCAGAATTATCAAATGCATATATTATTGTATCAAGATATAGCAAATGAATCTTGAAGGCTCAAGCAAGCACATCATGCATACAGCACACACTTGAGACATTGCCTCTTACACTAACACAAAAATGTTTGCTTGATAAGGCAACAAGTCTGACAGACATGCCTTGCATGTTTAAGCAGCCTGAATCCAAGCTTTTAACTCTAATAGAACAATGAATTAACCAGTTGGAAGAGAAGGATGAACTAGTAAATTATCTTGTAAGAAAGTGCTCCAAAGGAATGATTGAATAAACACACAAAAACTTACTTCTGCTTCAGCAGAATTTATTAACTCAGGAATATCAGATAGCCCAGTGTACTCAAGTCCTATCCGCTCCTCTAAAAGTGTTCTTGGTGTTTCAAGCTCAGATCCATGAGTTCCAGTTGAAGCTGCAACATCTGGTGTGGATAGCGTTGGAGACCTGACAGTTGTTCCTGCCTGAGGCACCGACTCAGATCCTAAAGTATTAGTTGAGAAAGGAGTAAAGTCATCTTTTCTAGGAGGAGAAGCCATAAATTCAGGTAAATTATCATTGCCGATATTGCTTTCCTCATATCTAAATCTTTCAATTTCTATATCATTTTCAGGCACCGGCCTAGAAGAATGTGCCACACTAGGCTCTTGGATAGCTTCAGTGGAGTGATGAGGAGATTCTACAATCCTAGGCTGCAGGATAGTTTCAGTTGTGTGCAAAGGAGACTGCACAACCCCAGGATCCAGGATAGCTTCAGCCTGAGGAGCTGGAGAATCTGTAATCAGGGGCTCCAGGATAGGTTCTGTTTCAGGTGCAAGAGAATCTGTAGCCATGGGTTGTGAGATATCTTCCTCAGTAGCAACCAAATGGGGTTTGGTTGAGATATAGTCCTTTTTGAAGATATTGCAGACATCTTCACACAACCCTGCATACAGGCAGACAGACAACAATATTTTATAAACCAAATTTCTTAACCTGGAAGACAAGCAGAAATAAGCATTGCAAATGGAAAGACTAACTCACCAGTTAATGATGGCTCATGAAAGACTTGCTCCTTTCTTACATGGTTGTTTAACTTCCACACACCCAAATCAGAGCCAGGCATATTTCTCTTCTTCCTTAATAAATCACTGTAATCTTCAAGTGCTTTCTTCATAAACCTGTCCAAATTCTTATATGATTAGCTGTACAAAGTGAAGCAAAAGATCAATATGAATTGTATGATCAATCTTACTTATTAGACAACACTATGGACTTATCGAGAAGTTTTCTCTTCCGTGCTTTTGGTTTTTTCTGCTGTACAGGAGGAGTTGATCGGATAGCCAATGCAGGAGTTGACTGCCCTGAAACAGCAAATTGAAATTAAATAAGAAGGCATATTTCATTTCAAAGAAAAGCAAGATGAGTCTGGTTACCCAAAAACACCAAGCATATATCAAATGATAAGAAACATTCACCTACCAAGGGAAATATGTGTATCAAAAATCTCAGGTGCTTCTTGTGGAACAGCGGAAGCTGGTGGTTCTGTAAGTTGCTGATATTGTAAGGAGACCCCTCCAGACTCTAATACATCCTCCAAATTTGGAGTATGAACTTCCTTCTCATTTAAATTCTTGTCTGGAGATCCTAAAGGCTCAGTCGCACCATGTCCATGATCTGAAAACAATGCAGGAATGTTTGCAGGGCTAAAATCATGGGTAGCATCACGCATAACTTCAAATTCTGGAACACTAGGAGGAGAAATCTGATCAGTTTGCCTTCGATCAAGATCTTCTGTCTGATTGCTTGGACCAGGTTCTCCGAAATCCACTGTTCTATCAAGAACATCTGTCTGATTGCTTGGACCAGGTTCTCGAAAATCCTCTGTTCTATCAAGAACATCTGTCTGATTACTTACACCAGGATGTTGCAAGTCCACAGGCTCACTAAGTGGTTCTCTCTGATTACTTAGACCAGTATTTTGATCATCCACAGTCTCACTAAATACTTCTGTCTGATTACTTGGACCGGGTTGAAAACCCGCATCAGCATCCGTTGGAGGTACAGGAAGAATGCTGTAACAATGACAGCAACAAACATAAAACTTGTTTCTCAACAAATAATATGAACACTTCAATGTCATTCTTAACAGGCATGAAAAAAAACACTAGATACATACTTCTCTCTTTGTCCAACCCCCGAATTTGGAACTCTTCTGGCCCGCGTGGAATCCATCATAACATCCTACACCACATAATTTAACTCAGTAGAACCGCAATTTCAATACCTCTAATTAAAAAAAAAAAAAAAAAAAAAAAAAAAAAAAAAAAAAAAAAAAAAAAAAACAGAATAAAACAACATTTACCTCATCAAAAGATATCGCAACATAATATCTCTCCGCGCGGAATTTGATCTAAACATTATCAAACATGCATGTCAAATTCACCATCTCAAAGGGTATACAAGAATACGAAGAAACAGACAAAAGTTGTCTTAACGTGTTTCCGGAAAAATAGAAAATTTATTCTTTTCTTATCTTTTGCAATAAAATACATCAGTACAATCCATTCTACTTTTTAGTGAGCTTAATGTGTAATCGTAAGACCACATGTTAAAACTTCGCTACAACCAAATTACAAAGCGAAGAATATTAACCTGTATGTGATCTCCCCTGATTCCTAAATGATGATCATAGTGATCATCATAAATAAGATCATCCAAATCCACGCATCAAGGTCCATTCTTTCAGAAATAATAGTTTCAGCCTGAGCTTGCGTGGCATCCTCAGGCAAATTACATTAACAGGAGTAAAAGTTTTTCTCAACCCAATCAAAACGACATTACGTCAGGATAGATAATCAACTTTCTTCGAATAGATCCGAACCACGCCTAACAGAAGATGCCCCGACATCTCAATGCAATCGGAACTTCCGGAAACATAATACGATCTAACCAGTAAAAAAAAAAAAAAAAAAAAAAAAAAAAAAAAGGAAATGATCATCAAAAAAATTATTACATCTTTTTAAAAACAAATGTTGAAATAGTTAAAATAGTACAAACCGACGGTAGAGGGGATGTTGGTGGAGGTGTAGTGAGACTTTTTGAGTCGGTGCTGGAGATGAGCGGCACACCAGACGGTGCCTAGCGGACCTTTACGAGCCAGAAACGTCTGCGAATAGAACATTTTGAGCGGCTCTTCGAGACTTCGAGTGAGAGAGGTAGAGGGAGAGGAAGAGGATTTTCGGTTACTAGGGTTTATTATTTGTTATTTATGAATCGGTTTTTTTAACTTCTGGATTGAGTGGGAATATTGACGCGGGAAACTCAACGAGGGCGCCAATTCAGATAATGAATTGTGAATTGAAAAGCCTCTCCTTTCTAAGATATTTACCATGTCTGCCATTCAGCTTTATTAATTTTGTGATATGCTCAATAAATTATTAAATTTCCCACCTAATTAAATGGAAAATCTTATTGATAATGTTTAAAATAAATATTTGTTGATTAATTAAATAAATATTTTTTGATTAATTACACTATGTTGGCCTAACTGAAAAACATAAACTTTCATTATTACCGTTGATTTGATTTGTTTTTGTTTAATAAACTTTTATTATTATCTTTGATTTTATTTTTTTGTTTAAGAACTGAGGTGTAATCACCAGCTTATGCGTACCTCGATTGGTCTTTAAGGAAAATTATCACACAACCCACTACTGCGGTATCTCGATTGGTCTTTAAGGAAAATTATCACGCAACAATCCACTACTGTGGTACCCCAAGTAAATCATGAATAATGATACTACATTTACGTTCAATGAGAAATCAAACTTTGTGAGTTGAAACCAAGTACAGCCCGAATTTGGGTTGATTTTTAAAGTAAACATATAATGTAATATATAAATCTTCTAATCAATTTTTTTTTTTTTTTTTTTTTAAAGTAGCTTTAAATTAATAAGGTGATGGCCTTGGCCATCTATGTGATACATGAATTCATGAACAAAGCTTGACATGATTTGTTGAACTGAAAGGCACCATTCTACAGCATATGCCTGATGACTTCTTCAAATCTTTTCTCTTATAACCAACAAGCTTCTACATCCAACAATAAAATTGAGAGACTAAAATGCTAATTCAGTGTGTTTTACATTTCAAATACAATTGATACAAGTTGATCACTCTCCAAAATCCTAGATATGCCGCTGTCAACCATACTATGCCTTGTTTACGCGAATTGGTTGTCCTTCCAGCAACTGCGGCAAACAAAAAGTGTCGAAGAATGATCAATAACAAAGAACGCAAGATGCAGAGATAGTGTCCCCCATTTACATGTATTGTTAATGCTATAGCTCATCTAATCCAGTAAGGAAACTAGTGAAATATAAGCAAGCATATATCACTAACAAATAGGCAATATATTTGAGGCTTCTTGATTGGTTCATGAATTATGTAGAAACATTCATGAATAGAAACCAGACAATAAAATCAGGAATTCCACAATTGATAAGATGATTTGATCCCTTACCAAGCACTTTGTTAATGTAAGTACAATTAAAAAGGCTGCTCAACCATTGATAGATGTCAACAGGATGCTTAAATACTGGATTCAATGACAATCAGAAGCTAGAGAAAAAAATGGATGACAAAACATATATCCATGGAACCATCTGGAAATCAGTTCAAGCAAAAATCTCTTTTTTAAATCCAAGAATCCACCATGAAAAAGCAAGCGCAGGAAACTACTTACTGAATTGTTAAGAGCCGAGATTGCAGCTTCAACATCCTCTTCTGAAGAGAATGAAACAAACCCATAACCACTTGATTTTGACGTTCCTGGGACCCGTTGAACTTTTGCACTAAGAACCTTTCCCTTCTCAGAGAAAAAGTTCTTGAGTGTTTCTGTTGTTACTGTCTTTGCAAGATTTCCCACATAAACTTTGTGGGGACTGTCAGCAAAGTCAGAATCATCAGCTTGGAGGATAGACAAATCAACTGCTGCCAAAGGTTTCTCTGTGATGTTTACTTTTATCTCGCGTCCACCAATTTCCTGCAGCAAGAATAAAAAAGAATTAAACTAATCAATCCTTCATCATCAGATGATCTAGGCAATCCAGTGAAGAGTAGCATAGTTTGCCAATGTCTCTATATTCCAGTAAAAGTACATATAATATCAAGTCTTACGGTGCTGTTCAGTTTCTCAATTGCTGCATTTGCATCCTCAACAGTTTTCATTGTGACAAAGGCAAACCGGCGACTCCTTCCAGTGTACTTATCATACATGACCTGCAGGAATAAAATAAAATGAGACAATGCTAATATCAGATTTTTATATACTTATTAAACAAAACTATGTCACTTCCGGAAATCTATTTCATGTAGCTTGGCGTCAATAAAAATTCAGGCGCCCCTTGTCAGTCTCTATCTGGGGTTCCAAGATGCAATCTTCAGATTGACTAGCATGTACTCAATGTTTGAAGCATTGAAAACATATTTGAATCCATTTTGCAGTTCGTCCATTCTTGAAATTTATAATTTTATATAAATAAATACATAAATGACTACACAATAATCTGAACAAATTAACCACACAATTCAACCTTATTACAATCTCATAATACTCAAAGCAATGTTTCAACTTTCAGAAATTGAGTAAATGCAAGCTACTAATAAAATCTAAATTAATAAAAAAAGAATTAAAGAAAAAACCTCGGCTTTCTCAACAGCACCGTGTTCTTGAACAATCTTTGCAAGCTCATCATTATCAATATTTCTGGGAATGTTGCCTATGTAGAGTTTCCTGGCAGCCTCTGAAGAGGTGTCAACAGAAGTTTCTTCAGCTACTGCAAAGAGTCTCGAATTGGAGTAGTCTTTGCCGGTTGACTTGAGATGGAATACAGAATAAGAGAGTTTAGGGAAGTTCAATTGCAAAGCGGGGAATTTTGATTGGATTGTGAGATGGGTTTTTGTTGAGAAGAGATTTTGTGGAGGGATTATGAGAGATGAAATTGAAGCCATTTTTGTTTGGCGAAGAACGGAAGAAGAAAGTGAAGGAATTTGAGAAGGGGTTTATCACTTTATCCAGTGAAGAGGGCTTAGGCTCTTAGTCACCCGCGGGTGATAAATGAAATAAAAAGAGTCCAATTTAATTCGAGTGGTGGATTATTGGGCTTTCTTTCCAGCCCATTTATTTAAAAACCCAAAAAGCCCAAATTCTAATGGGGGTTCTTTTCTAGGGTTTTCATTTTCAGCGTATAAATAGCTTGAGTACCTAGGGTTTGTTTTACCATTTCGGCAGTTACATATACTCAGCTAGAGAGACAAGTGAGTCGAATCCAGCAATGGCACCGAAGCAGAGGAAGCCGAAGGTAAGCCGTAACCCGGAGCTGATCCGAGGAATCGGAAAATTCTCTCGTTCCAAGATGTACCACAAGAGGGGTCTCTGGGCCATCAAAGCAAAAAACGGCGGCGTTTTCCCCCGCCATGACCCCAAGCCCAAAGCTGCCTCTCCAGCTGAGAAGCCCCCCAAGTTCTATCCCGCTGATGACGTCAAGAAACCACTCGTTAACAAGCGCAAGCCAAAACCCACCAAGCTTAGGTACAATTGTTGATTAATTGTGTATTTTTAATGTAGCTATAGACTTTGTTTTTATGGATTTGTTTGGTTTGTTTTTGTTGTTAGAGCGAGTATTACTCCCGGTACAGTGTTGATTATACTTGCTGGAAGGTTCAAGGGGAAGAGGGTTGTGTTCTTGAAGCAGCTTCCATCTGGGTTGCTTTTGGTTACTGGTGAGTTTTGTCTTTTTTTGCTGTGTTTTGTCTTGTCAATGTTTATTGGTTATATAATCTGTAATGGAAATTATTAGGTGCAGTGAAAGTGTTTTGTTTTTAGTATTGTGTAGATGGGTTGTTATAATGAATTTTTTTTAACCGGAATTTCTTTAGATAATCAGTTAGTCCGCATTGTAGACAATCTGCACTGTGTGAGGATAGTTGGGCTGCATGACTAGATAGCCACACTAGTACTTTAGACAATTGTTTTAGCTATAAGCCAGGTTTCATTGGTGATGAAATTTAATTTTGATATTGGTGAAAAACGAAGGGTTTACCTACTTTAGTATTGAAAATCTCACTTTACGGGCCTTCTGTCTGAGTTATCATCTACGCCTTTTTTTTGGTTACATACAACTAAGCTACTTGAATCAGCGAGTTGTCCTAATTCAGTATATTTTGCGTATAAAAGAAAAAGTTTAATGTAGAGTTTTGCGGGCTGTATCGCTTTGTTGAGTCTGTGATACTAATTACAGAGTATTGAAACTTTTGCCATTGTTTGATGGGCTTATTAATAGGTTTTGGTTGGCACTCTTTTAAACTATGTGTAGTGTGGTGGAAATTAATTAATGATGGCCATGTGGATTGTTGTCGTTTTCTTTACAATTTTATGACAGTGTATTATAGTTTTTGCTGATGCCATGATTTGGAGAACTCTTTTCAGTTTAATTGGTTTATGTTGTATTTATTTGTTGATTTTGACTTATTTTTTCTTGCTACTGTACAGGACCATTTAAAATCAATGGTGTGCCTCTAAGGCGTGTGAATCAATCTTATGTGATTGGAACTTCCACCAAGGTTGACATCTCTGGGGTGAATGTGGACAAGTTTGACGACAAATACTTTGCCAAGGAGGCTGAAAAGAAGAAAAAGAAGGGAGAGAACGAGTTCTTCGAGGCAGAGAAAGAGGTAGGTTTTCTAACATGTATTGTTTGTACAACATATTTGGGTGTTTTCTAACATTATTTTTTTCTTCGTATTTAAAATTTGTAGGAGAAAAAGGCCCTTCCGCAGGAGAAAAAGGATGATCAGAAGACAGTTGATACGGCATTGATCAAATCCATTGAGAGTGTTCCGGACTTGAAGTCTTATCTGGCTGCAAGGTTTTCCCTCAAGGCTGGCATGAAACCTCATGAGCTTGTGTTTTAGAGAGAAACATGTTGGAGAGTTTTAGGATTTCTTGGCATTTCCTACTTGTTATGTTTTATTTGGACTTGAGTTTAGCAGTTGTACTCACTGAGTTTCATTGGTATCAAACATCTAAATTTTGGTATTGTGTTAGGCGTTGCATTGTGCAAGGAATTACTTTTCTTTTTTCATGATCAAATGATTATACTGATATATAATATGTGACAAGTTCTTTTCATATGATCTCAGTTAGCTTCTGTGCGCTAATATCAGTCATTTTCTTATCAGAGTCATTTTTATTTGGTAGTTTTGCGTTTGGATGCCTTAAGAACTTGGTGCGAATTTGATGACTTGCCTGGCTGCATAAATATTTGTTTCCTAGCCTTCTTTAAAAGATTTGTCAATAGATTAGGCATTCTTTATTTAGGGATGCACGATTGATTCTTGGTATTGCATCTTGATCATATATGGCTGCCTTTGAACACTTCTATGTGTTACTACTGTGTAGCAAAGTTCACCCAACTCAAATGTAACAACGGAGGAAGGGTTACGCAATGTGCTTGATTGAGTTCTAACAGCTTGCCAAAGGGTTCAAATAAACTCTTCCAACCTGGCCCTGGAGCTGGATGCATTAACGTGATAAAAATTAAAAAGTGTGCAAGGAAAACCGCTGACAAACATTGTGTCCAGTATGACTGTATTATACAAGGCTTTCAAGTACTCTAATAGTCAAATGTATTTTACATCTGCAGTAATTAGTAATATTTATACAGCACTTTATTGAACTAGCATGAAAAACAGCATAAGAAACAGGTTAAGCTACAGTATAATTCCAAACAAGTGAGATTTAGCGAATTGAGTTTTTCAAAGTTAGTGTTACAGTAAGCTGTCTGTTTGAGCTGGCATTCTTCTGAAAAAGTTGCTGGGCACAGAAGGCAGCTTGCTGCGGAATCTGGGGTGCCGTAGATAATACAAACCGCCAACTAGAGCCACCACTTTAAATGGTGTTGTATAGAGCACCACAGCTGCGCAGAGACAGAACACGATGAAGAGGGCAGTAGCTCTGGGGTCTCTCCAGCTGAGCAGTGACTGAAATCTCTCACCCTGTGTTGCTATGTCACCTACCACTGTCTGAATCCTCCCTGCAACACTTCTAAGCCTATCATACCTCATCCGAACAAGATCTTGAGATTTGGAAGTTGGAAATGTATCAAATTCTTCATCTAGCTCATCTGGGTGCACTGCTTCTGCCCATGAAAGTTTGGTATCCATGTGAGGTGGGTGCCTTGGCCGGAACCTATAGTTCCATAGTCCAATGAGGAACATGTACAGAAACACAGTTGGGAGAATCAACTCCGGATACCAAATCATTATTAGGAACAGAATGTGAACTAGAACTGATGTGATAGGATTTCTCCACTTGCATACTTCACCGAACCATCTGCTTACAGATATCATACCCGAAAGGAGAGACATAATGCGAAAGAAGTTAGCTTTGCTTCTTCTCATACTCCACATATGGGAGTCCACATCAAGCATATACTCCACCACCTCTTTCCGCAGAGGTGGTTCAGCTCGGCCAAGCCTCACCGCTACAATATTCATGGCTTGGTACCTTAAATTGTCTACTTGATTCACAGTCAAAGGATGAAGGTAATGCATTTTAGGCAGCAAGGGATGCCCATAAACATATATCATGTTAGCTAAAGAAAGAGTGGTGAATCTAACTGCTAGTTGAAGCTCACCCATTTTCTTCACTCCATGTGGATGAAGAACAAGAAGTGGATAAGAATGTGTATAAATTCGATGAGCTTCAAGGGTTGATAGCCTTATTCGTACCTTTCCTATCCGTGAATCTCTTGCTCCATTGCCAGCATTTGGTTTCTCACCTCCACCCAAGTGGCAATTGTCGAAGACTCCCATTGTGATCACTGTACAGGGATCATAAACTTCCCATGTGTATTGCTCATTCCACTTGGGGTTGAATGTGTCGAGAATTGTTCTGGTTCGGACCCATTTCTGACCATACTTAGCAACACAGTAGGCGTCTGTACTTCCTCTTCCATCCCTCATCTTCATTGGCAGGAGACCTTCAGCGCCTAGAATGCCCACTTCTAGTATCCCAACTGGCTGTTTCCAGAGCTGCTTTGCTGTTGGCCTCTGGTCACTGATGTACATTGTTGATTCATCCAACACATGATATCCACCTTCAAGACAAACTCTAAGGTGAACTCTGCTTGAAAACTGGAGGTCTTTCCTCCTGTCAGCTTCCAGGACTCCAAAGCCATATTTTTCAAGATTGAACCAACGAGAATGAACTGGCCTGTGGTCTAGCCGTTTCTCAAATATGTTCAGTGGTAGGAGTGTCTTCCCCAACATAACTTCTTTTGACTGATGAATTCGATCCTCAACTGTAATGAGTAGCTGCTCCTCAAAAGGCTCAGCTACTACAAACACTAAATCTTCATTCCAGAGTGGGTTAGTAGTTGGACTTGAGCATGTCTTGGTTTTAAGCACTTGGCTTCCAACCTGAACTTTTACAAAAACTTCTGGGAGGCGGTTTCTGTCGTCTGGCACCACATCCTGAGCTTCAATCACATTTACCCTTAGGTACCACAGCTTTGGAGACACATACACCTTTGATCGAATGTTGAGAACCCCCTCTCCATAGACTGACGAAGCCTCCGAATGCCAAGCCTCTGAGAAGGCTTCATCAGCTTGAGTTCCCAGCCAAACTGCAACCATGATCTCTCCCCTTACTTTTCCTGTACCACGTCGGTCCTCTAGTCTATACCACTGAGGAGCCAAGGGGCTGTCAGGTGGAACTCTAGTTGGAACTTCATTCAAATCAAAAACAACTCTTCCAAGATAATCATCTCTGCCTATCATTTCTTTGTCCTTGACAAAAACTTCAAGGATTGATGACTGAATACGATCTTTGGAGAAAGCAAAGACCTGTTTCCATTCAGGATTTATTTTCTTCTCAAAATGCCTTGTCCTTCCTTTGTAGTTACCAAGCTTTACTTCAACATAAGGGTCACAGCTCCCAGTAATGGAGCTGGGAGGAAGGTCTTTCGCTTTCTCAACACGAACATAAAGATAAAACATCTGCTCGACAAGGTCGTAAGTGCTACTGAATCTTTCTGCACTCATCCATCCTCTTCCTCCATATCCCGTGCCATTTGGCCACCGCTCCCCCAACTGGGGATTGGTGTCCTTCAGATCGTAGTCATCTAGGTCACCAGGATGTCCTTGCGGATTGACAGGCTGCATTGTGAACGGGACACCTTGTGGTCTTTTCTCCACAGACAAGCTCGGTCGCTGCAAAATTTGGTGTTTGTGTATCTGTTCTATTGCCTCTACTTTTGGCTTTTTAGCAGGTGCTCCACTGTTAGACTCAGTCGGAGAGGGAAAGTTCTGGATTAAAGCAACTGAAGGAATTTCTTTTTCTGTGAGAGTTTCTGGAGCATTAACAACGGCTAGTTCTGAGTTAGGAAGAGCAACTGAAGTTCTGCAGTCAGAATTAGTGTTTTGTGGGACGGAAGTTGCAGTTAAGGTAGGAAGAGAAGGATTACTTGTTGCAGGTGTGGGTGATTTTGGTGGAGATTTGGTTTCCGGTTCTGGTGAAATATAAATTTTGAGGCCAATCTCACCTTTGACAGACGAGAAAAACCATTTCTTTTCTAACTGAAATCTTTGGTAAACTTCCTCACCTTTCTTGACAATATTTGAGCAAGAAATTCTCACCCGGCCAAGGAAATTTCTTCCAGGAATTGGCCTTCTCTCGTTATAAACAGACAATTCAATGTAATGGTGGTTATGGTTTATGGTTTTGTCGAAATCAAAGAAAAGTTCTTGGTTCCAAACAGGATTGAGGTTCTTTGGAATAGTTTTGGTTTTGCTTAGTTGGTTAAGGAAATCAACTTCTGCAAATGGACTGGCTGAGCCTTGTCCATCTTTAGGCATAAGATTATAAGCATCCACTACTTCCACCACTAACTTCATGTTCCTTTTCTTTGTATGTGAAACTAAAAGGAAGTGGTTCTCTACAAGATATCTCAATCTCAATTCTGAAGCAAAGAAGTTCTACTCAAGAAGATAGGAGATAACAAAAAGAAAGAATAATTAAGGTTCTCTTTTACTCACAATAGTAGCCTCTCTATTCTCTTGTTCAAGTAAGGAATGCTTTGAAGGAGAAGCTCTTTGTTACTTCTGTAGTAATCCAAAGATGAACAAGAGGAAAATGGAGGGAAAGTATAAGCTTTATTTAAAGTAGAAATTATCCACTATAGTTTTGCTAAAGTACATTGGTGTATGGATACATGAACGTAAACTTTATACAATGCTGCATTGTAGCTAGAACTGTTACTCGTTGTGCATTCACACTAGATTTAGCCGCTCATGAGACAAAATGGGGCATGTTGGTCGTGGGAGTCTATGAAATCCCTTCCTTGGGTGGGGAGCAATGCCAATATCATAAAAGCAAGCAAGAAACAAAGAGAACTAAAAGAAAGCAAATCCACAAAGCCTAAAGCTCAAGGATCTGTGACCTTACCAAAGATGCTTTTCCTGTACTTTATTCTCTTTGTTACTTTAACCTTATTAATTATGTTTGGACCAACTGGTAAACATATTCTTCTAGGTAGTTCATTTCATTGTAAAGTCATTTCAACATACAGTACAAGTTTTCAATATTTCTAATGTTTGACATGGGTCCTCTGGTCTGATATTATGCTGCCAAAACCCTTGTGTGATTTTCAGCTCTGATCGTCATATTTCTTTAGGGAGTTGAGCCTTTTCATAAAAGTGGAGAGTTATAAAGAAACCCCAAATCATGAGTCTCTTCAGTCTTCTCCAGGCTTGACTGCCTCATCGCTTAAAGCTAAAAAGCTTACTTGATTTTATAATCTCTTGTATAGAGCACCTTAAACCAGGGCAGCTTTGGTTATAAAATAAAAACATTTTGCTTACTCTTTTAATTATACATGATGAAGTAAATGACTACCCCACATTATTTAACACAAAATATCAAAAATTAAAAGAATTTTTTTTTTTTTTTTTAATATTCAAGAACGAATTTTAAGGGATATTTCCATCCTCATCTAGAGATCAACTTCGGCTTTCCAATTGTCCAATTTATGAATGGAGTATTATGAGATGGTGTAGCTAGAAACATGCATTCGAAATTAATAATATAGGAATAAAATCATATCATACAAAGAGATATGATATTTATATAGTTTGTCATACTCTGTTTACATCTACAGATAAGAGAAATTCATAACTCTTACATTATATACTTTATGTTCTTCCATTCTTTTATAACCTTAAATTAGTTCTCACCCTTATATTTATATTTTAGAACAAATAAGAAACAAGTTACAATATCTCAACATGGAGGGCAGATATGGATTCGACTCTCACTTGAGAACGGAGAAGAATATGGCGATCATCAACCCTAGTATACCAAGTGTAGACGTAAAAATCTATATGTACGAAAGGGGGTCTGATCCCGTGAGGTTGAGGCCACTAGCGATCCGCTACACCTGCACATGTAGAGAAATGAGCGTGAAGCGAACGAGAAATACCGGGGTGGTGTTTGTCGTAGGCACTCCGACGCTCAAGTTAGCAAGGTTGAAAGAGGCTAGTATAGTGAGGGCTAGAGAGTAAAGAGGTTACCGGAAGTTTAGTAGGAGACTATGACTACAGTAGTGATGTAAAACTCTCAAATGGGAGCTTCGGATGTGAAGGTGTAATGTAGTCTCATCTCCCTTGTGAGAGGGCTGACCTCTGCTTATTTAGTGACTGTTTAGTCTCCCAGTCCTGGTGGGAGTAGGAGTCCTAGTATGACTCTGATACAAACCCTGGAGAATTAGGGCGGCGGTGAGTTGTCTTACCAGTGTTCGAATATGAAGGTGATCCTGAACAGGAAAGTAACCTCGAGTAGGAAAGTGACCTGAATAGGAAGGTAACCTCAAATAGGAGACTGATCTGGAATAGGAAAGTGATCTGTAGGTGCCATGCGCTCTGGACTTGCTCATAGGTCCAAGAAGTACACTGGGATTTGGAGGCCCGGACTCGATGGTTTGGACCGACTGTATCTCGTATAAAATGGGTCTAATCCTGATAGGGCCGCATCAAGATTGGGCCTAGTCTCTTCCTCATTCAGTCCCGTTCTCCGATTTAGGCCAAGGACAACTTTTGGCCCTAACACCAAACAACCTAAGTGTTACTTTCAGATCATACTGGGTTTGATGTAATTATACCAAATCTCAGGGACCAAAAAATTGTGATGCGAACTAATGAAAAGGATTGGGCCAAGAATGTTAGCCCAATTGATGTCATCCCTCAGATTTGTGGTGGCCCATACATGTATTAAAAACACAAGCACAAAAAATATAATTAAAAAAAATAAAAATTAGGAGTTCTGTGTCCAACAAGATTGGGAAAGGGTTTTCTTAAAATAAATTTTTTTAATTAAAATTAATTTACTAGAACCTTCTCTTTCTCTCCAAAATAAAGCTAGGGTTTTTCTAGGGTTTACATTGAAAAACACCTGAATCTTTTAACATCCACGTGGAGAACAGGTGCCAGAGACTCATTCACAGATGGTTCGAACTAGACTTCTTCACTCATTCTCTCGGAGACTTTTTGAGGATTCTCGAAATTATTCAGTATGTGCCCTTCTTTCCCTTCTTCACTCTTTTCCAGTTTTAGATTTGTTTTTTAATTTTTTTTTTTTATATGGAAGTTAACGTTTTGATTGGTTCTAGGTATTGAAGAATGTAATTGGCGGCAGTCACAGGAGCTTCAATACTGGTGCTTGTAACCCAGTTTGGGTTACGGGAAATTCCGCTTTTAAAAACGGTTATCTTTCAAATTTTTCGTTCTTTTTTTAAATGAAAGTTGAAATATTGTATAGTGTTGTATGCGTGTGTGTGTTTTTTGGTGAAGGAAGGCCTTGTGTTGGATTGAAGTATTGTTAAAACAGTAATCTTTGTTTTCTTCTGACTTTGTGCTAATTGCAGTTAATAATCATCGAAACTGCTTGCTGTTTGGTCTTCTGAATAGCAATTTGGGTGCAACGAGGTCAATCCATGGCACTGGTAATTAGTAGCTTCTATTGTTTTTTGTTTAGTCTTTGTTTTTCTATTCTGCATAATGGAATTGTTAGAAACAAAATTACTGAAAGTTTTTACTGGTTTTCGTGCTTGTTTAGCTTCTATGTCTGCAAGAGATTATTATGATATGCTTGGTGTGAGCAAGAATGCAACTGCATCTGAAATAAAGAAAGCTTACTATGGGGTATGTTTTTGCTTCCAGGCTAAGGGCTGACTTGCACAATTAGTTTACTCTCTTGTGTTTCATGAACTTAATTATTGTTTATTTTGTTATTATTTGCAGCTAGCAAAGAAGCTCCATCCGGATACAAACAAAGATGACCCTGAAGCTGAAAAGAAGTTTCAAGAAGTTTCAAAGGCATACGAGGTGAGTTTGCTTAATTAGGATCATGGAAATTGGAAACATTGCCCTAGCCTATTTTGCATTTACATGATTGACTTACTGAAACCTTTATTTTTGTTTTGTTCTAGGTTTTGAAAGATGAGGAGAAGCGTGGCATCTATGATCAGGTAGCTCATCTTAATTTTTGTTTTACCTTTGGTTAAGTTGCAAATTATTGTTTACAACATTTTGGCTAAAATATTTTTTTCTTAAGTTCAATTTAGAAATAGACTTTGTTACTCAGCTAATTTTTTCATTTATATTTCTTATGTTAGATTTTATAATATTTCATGATTTTCCGTATTCCTTTACTCAAAGACCTTATTAGCAATTATTAGCATTGCTTGTGTGTGTGTCATATAGGTTGGTCATGAAGCATTTGTGCACCAAGAAACTAATGGTGGTCCAGGGCATAATGGTGGTTTTGGGAATCCGTTCGAGGACATCTTCAATATGGAGAATGTAACAACTTCTTCTGAAGCTTTTTTTCTTTATTGTGTCAAATTATTTCCCTTCCTCTTTCTACTTAGAAACCTAATATTTTGTGCATATTTTATTTGAAGTTAACATTTAATGATTCGTTTGTTCAGAGTTAAATTGTTGAAGTCTAATACGATTTTCATGCTTATGGTGTTTATTTGTCTATAATGGCCAGATCTTCAACATGAAAGATTTTTTCAGCAACAGAATGAGTGGCCAAGATGTCAAGGTGATCATTCTTATTTATTTTCCCGTATTCAGTGCTTTGTTTTGTGCTTGAAAGTTGAATCACTGACATGTCATCAATGAATAGGTTGCAGTTGAGCTATCTTTCATGGAAGCTGTACAGGGGTGTTCCAAAACTGTCACATTTGAAACAGAGTTGCCTTGTGAAGCTTGCGGTATGCATATTATCTGTTAGATCCTAATTTAGATTAGAAAGAAAGGTTCCCAATTTAGTTTTGTTTTCTTATACTGTTTTGGCATTTTGCAGGTGGAGAAGGTGTCCCTCCTGGAGTTAAACCTGAAAAATGTAGGCGGTGTAAGGGCTCAGGCATGGTGAGTCTTACTAGAGTTACAGATAACGTGCAAACCGACATATGTGCATACACCTCACATTTATTGTCTGTATTATTTTTTTTATAATATTTATAAATGATGATTATAACTGTTAAGGCAGATATAACAAATTTGTGTTGCTTGTTATATGCTTGTTACATTGCAGGAGTTTATACAAAATGGCTTTATTACCATTAATCAAACTTGTCGACAGTGTGGTGGAAGGGGTCAAATTGTAACGGTATGTTACACCTGCTTTGTGATCTCATGTTCAGTAAATTTTTTTGTTAAAACATATATGAACAAATATGATCTGCCTCCATGTGACCATCAATTAAACTGGTTTTGTTTTCTTGGCATGATTGCATAAATTATTTGATGCTGCTATTTGGTACATGAGGAGCAGTAGTTATCTTGTTAGTTATTTGCCACTTGCCTATCTCATAAATGCGGGTTAGAGGTGACATTTATCATTTTGGATCAGATTTTTGTAAAATAAAGTACATCATGTCTTAATCTGAGAAGGGTAAATGGTGTTGGAATTAAAGGAAACCTATACTCATATACATGTGTGGGTGAAAAAAAAAAAAAAAAAATTAATCCACTGGGCTAAGCAATTAATGTAGAAAGCAGTGTGATACATATTACTGATTTGGAAAATTAATGCTTTTAATGGTAAGTAACCATTTTAAAAGATTTGGTTAATTGCATATTTAATATATTTAGCATTGTATATTGCAATCTTGTTATGCTAATCAGTTACTTAATTGAAGCTTGTGGCTTAACTGTGCATATTGTGCTGGAGACTGCTTTATGGATTAAACTTACTTTTTAAGATTATAGAGAGTTTTAAAATTGATAATTTAATTATGATAAGGTGGTTGCTGTGTGAAAAACTAATTTTCCACATCAAATGGGTCAAATACTATCCTGAACAACATCTATTCTTGTAAGACATTAGTGTAAGTGTTTTCTTTATGCCCTTTATCCGCATCTTTTTAACTCTATTATTGTTGTTGGTATCAGAGCTTGTGTAAAGCTTGCAAAGGAACTAGAGTGGTGAAAGGATCAAAGGCAGTGAAATTGGATATTATGCCGGGTACTTTTTAAATCTTGAAGCACTGATGGTTGCTTTACTAGAGCCTAGAAGTTCATCATTTTTGTTTCAATACGTTTAGATACTGGGTCCATCTCTTGCCTGCTTGCAAACGAATGTTTGTATCTGCATCTTCTTATGCATGATTGTCTAATATACACCCAAGTTTTTTCTGTTGTGAGTTTTATGTCAGAGATCTGAGTGTGCAATGCATCCTGGAATGTTTTCTGTTCTTTTCTTACTTTGGTTATGCGAGTTTACTTGAATGTATCTTCAGGAGTTGACAACAACGAAACTTTAAAGGTCTTCAGAAGCGGTGGAGCAGATCCTGATGGAAATCAACCTGGGGATCTTTATGTTACCATCAAGGTTAATCTCTTAGCTTCTTATGTTATTTATTATGTCATACAGTTAGAGTGAGTTTATTTTGTTACTCCTTAAATTGCAAACCTTTGTTGTATTCTTTTTAATCCTGCAGGTCAGGGAAGATCCTGTTTTCCGTAGAGAAGGTGCTAACATTCATGTAGATGCTGTTTTGAGTGTCACTCAGGTAAACTGTTTTCTTGTATTTTTCTTGGCTTTACAAAGAATGAGATGCTAATCTATGAAGATCTCAAGAGTGTGTGATATCTAGTTCTTCATAAAATTTTGTCTTCCTTCTTGTACTGAAGCCTGCGGGATTTCCTTCTTAACTTAAAACAGTGTGCTTTTTGTTTTTTTAATTATGTGTTCTATAATCTCTTTAATATTTATTGAAGTCCATTGGATTGTTAATGTACAGGCAATTTTGGGAGGAACCATTCAGGTCCCAACTCTAACCGGAGATGTTGTACTTAAGGTTTGTTGAAATCTTATGTATTGACTATCTTATATGACTGGTTTCTGTAGATACTTTTTTCTTCCATCTGTTTCGGTAAAATAAAATTTATATTATATCTGCAGGTACGCCCTGGCACCCAACCAGGTCAGAAGGTGGTTCTGAAGAGCAAAGGTTTGAATATTACATTAATGCTTCCTTTTATTATTTATTTCTTTACATGGTTTCTCATGTGTATTTTTTCCTTTTGCAGATCATTTCTGATAATGTGTTTATTTTCTCTGCTTTAGGATGTTATAGCAAATGCAATACGCCAATTATCTGACTATATGTATGATTGTTTTATCTTTCAGGGATTAAAACAAGAAACTCTTTTGCATTTGGCGATCAATATGTGCACTACAATGTCAGCATTCCAACGTAAGTCTATGTTTTCAGACAGTATTTTACACTCTGATAGTATCTGTACCCATCCCCAAATTTAGCTGGACACCATATTTGCTTGTGTGTCAATGTCTTATTTTGTAAGCGTTTCCATGTAGGAATCTGACCCAGAGACAACGTCAATTGATTGAAGAGTTTGCCAAAGAAGAGCAAGGTGAATACGATAGGCATGCTGCTGCTGGAGCATCCAGATGAAAGACCAATCCAATCGATCAAATTCTTTGGGTGTCATTTTAGTCCAGTTTTGTGGAACAAAAAGGAATAGGAGGAAAAGCAAAGTAACCTCTTGAGTAATCCACCTGCTTTGAAAGTTTTATAGGAGAAATTTTGAGTTGGATTTGACCTATTTTTTATTTGTAACGCATGTAATATTTATTCCCAAAACAGATAATATAAATTTTTTGAGTCCCAACACTAGATCAGTTTGCACCCAGTGGGCTTTTGTACATAATTTATAAATGTAGTACTGAAAACCTGAAGGGCAAGGGAATAATTTAGTCTTAAACTGTATTTGGTCATTACCTGAAGGCATGCTCATTTCAATGGTTTAAAACCCAACCTGGGGTGAAACTCGGCAAAGTTGTTGGGTCTTGGGTTGACTGGTTAAACCAGTTGACAAAAACTTTTAAAATTTAGCAAATACACTTCTAAAAATTATAATTAAGCTTCTAAAAGTTTGAAATTTAGTAAACATACTCTAAATACAAATCAGTCAGTGATTGGTTGGCAGCGGCAACATCCCAGATGTAATCCCAATCATTTCTTGAGTCTATTTCTCTTAAAATATACCTAAGATCTAACCGAAATAGATTTGATTTCGACTAAATCTCATCTCATCGACGCCAGCGTCGGCATTCCAAGCTAGATTATTGTTTTAAAAATCAGACAGCTCCTTAACCAGGTCAAGGGGTTGATTCTCGGGTTGATTAGTCCAACCGGTTGGACCGGCCAGTCTGATCAGTATACAACAGACACATCTCTAAATGATTTTTCAGCCCTTATAAGTTTGAAAACCTGTAAATATACCCTTAAAATTGGCGCATGAGTTTCTGTATGTATGAAATAACCTGCAACTTTTATTACTAATTATTCTCTTCTCTCTCCCCATCACTTTCACCTTTGTCCTTTTTTCTCTCTCCCCATCAATTTCTTCTTTCTCATTTTTTTTCTCTTCCCGACACTTCTTTCTTTCTTCTATCCCTTTCCCCTTTTTCTCGTAATTTTTTTTTTCTCCTCCCTTCCTCTTTCTCTTCGTCTCCTCTTCTCTTTCTTCTAATCTTCTTCCTTCCTCTATTCTTCTTCGTCTCCTCTTCTCTTTCTTTTTCCTTCCCCTCCTCTTACTTCTTCTTTACACGACATATTTTAGAGTAAGTGAAGAATAATAGAAGATGAAAATAGAAGATGCACTTTGGTCTTTGGAGATGAAAATGATATTGGAATAAAATGGAGAATTCTTGCTGGCGCAATGAAATAGAGAATGAAACGGTGCTGCAAATCTGGTTTAGGAATTAGGGATCAGATTGTTAGACTATCAGCATCTTCAGAATCTTCAGCAGAAAATCTAGGAGCATCTGCACCCAGTCTTCACACCATCCATTCTGTTACTGATTCAAAATGATCCAGCTGTTGGCGTAACCTTCTCCTACAAATCTATATATGATTGTTTCCTCATTTTGAATTAGATTGATTTCCTTATTATACGCATGACAGCTCAAATGTACAAATATAAATATAATGAAAAACCACGGCTTGAGTGTGTTAGCCAAGCCAAAGATATTTCATCCTTCTGCTAAATTATTAAGAGTTTACATGGTATCAGCCTAACATCCTATAAGCTCACGCTTTTAAAAAGATCCTTTCTCCAACTTCCGCATCATCCAAATGGCCAACACCGACACCAACACCAACGACACCCCCATCCCTGAACCTATCCTACCACCATCTACCACCACTATTTCTGTTAAACTAGCCAGATCCCATAATTATTTGGCATGGAAAATGCAATTCCTTAATTTCCTCCGAGGTCACGACTTAGTTGGCTTCATTGATGGTACTGCAGCCTATCCTCCAAAAAATATTGCCTCTAGTTCATTAAAAGCCTATGTTGTTTGGCAGAAGAAAGATGTTTGTCTCCTTGGATGGATCCTTGCATCTCTTTCAGAAAAACTTGTTTCCACTGTTTATGGTTTGGAAACATCTAAGCAAGTCTGGACTGCCCTGCAAACTCGTTTTTCTTCTCAATCACATTCCCGCATATCCCATCTTAAGCGTCAACTTCAGACATTGACTCAAGGTAACAATTCCTGTTCCGAGTATCTTGAAAATGCCAAAAGTCTTGTAGATCAATTGGCAGCAGCTAGTAAGCCTGTTGATGATCAAGACTTGATCTCCTTTCTTCTTGGTGGACTGCAATCATCCTACACACCCTTTATCACTTCTTTTAATTTTGCATCCCTTGAAACTGACTTCACATTCGAAGACTTTCAAGCCGAATTGCTGGACTATGAAAATCTTTTGGATGTTCATCATTCTGTTCCTGGCACGGATAGTACTCATTTTGCGTTTGCTGCAAACAAGTCTAAGGCCCCTACTTATGTGAAAAAGAAAGGACCTCCACTCCCTCCCACCAAAACGCAGAATGCAGCTTCCTCTAATTATCGGCCACACCAGCAGACCAGATCTACTCCTACACAGCTCCCCAACAATCGCCCGATTTGTCAAATTTGTGGTAAATCTGGCCATACTGCTATTAATTGTTTTCATCGTTTTGATTATTCATATCAGGGTTGGTTTCCTCCTCAAGATCTCGCAGCAATGGTGGCTGAGACTAATGCCACATTTGATCATCAAGTTTGGTACATGGACAGCGGCACTAATGCCCATATTACATCAGATGCAACTAATCTCACTCATCAGCAACCCTTTCGTGCATCAGAAACTGTAACTGTCGGAAATGGTTCAAGTTTGCAAGTTCTAACTACTGGTTCTACCACCTTTAACTTCGGCCAATCCCATTTTCATCTAGATAAAATTCTCCATTGCCCATAAGCAGCTTCCAATCTTATCTCTATCAATCAATTTTGTTTAGATAATAATTGTTACTTTATCTTAACTGCTAATGATTTTATCGTGAAGGAGAACCTGACAGGCAAAATATTACTTCAAGGTGTGGTTGAAAACAGCTTATATCCACTAGCTGGGTGCAAAATTTCTCATAAGAACCTCACATGTCTTTCAGCAACAATAGGGGTTCGACCTCATGCAGACACTTGGCACTCAAGACTAGGGCATCCCTCTAGTGTGATTTTAGAACATTTGTTTCATTTAAATAAACTTTCTGTCAAAGGTCCTTCAAATAAATTAGAGTTTTGCTCCGCTTGTCAACTTGGCAAAGCTAAGCAACTACCTTTCCCAGAGTCTAGTCGTAAGTCTTCTGTTCCTCTTGCATTAATCCGCTTTGATGTATGGGTTTCCCCTGTACGATCAACTGGTGGTTGTTCCTATTATGTTTTATTTATTGATGATTATTCGAGATATTCCTGGCTATATCCTTTGCACAGAAAATTTGATGTGTTTGCAAATTTTGTTAAATTTAAAACCATTGCAGAAAAAATTTTCTCCTCATCCATCAAGCAAATACAAACAGATAACGGTGGAGAGTTTACTTCCAACCAATTTAAAAATTTTCTGACTGCACAAGGAATATTTCATAGGTTGACTTGCCCACGCACTTCTCAACAAAATGGAATTGCCGAGCGGAAACATAGACACATCCAAGAAATAGGACTAACACTTCTACCTCAATCAAGTTTGTCCCCCCAATATTGGGTTGATGCGTTCCTTACTTCAGTGTTTTTAATAAACAGGTTTCCTACCCAAGTCTTAGGTAATATGACACCTTACTTTTTTACTTCATAAAACTGAGCCAACTTATGAGTTCTTACGTGTTTTTGGATGCGCTTGCTATCCACTCCTTCGACCATATAACGACCATAAACTGGCATTCCGAAGTAAAAAGTGTCTCTTCCTAGGCTATTCCAACTGTCAAAAAGGATATATGTGTCTTGACTTAGCCACTAAACGGGTATACATCTCACGACATGTCATCTTTGATGAGAAATCTTTCCCAGCTAAGGAACTAGCCGAGTCCACCACATCTCGAAGAACAAATCCTCCTGTAGGTGACCCACTGATAATTCCTAGTTCAGTTTTATCTAGTAACTTATTATCTAACATTTCTGCAGATGTGCTATCTCCAAATGATCTCTCTCCCCCTTCAGTTCAAATGCCAATTCTTATGGCATCCAACTCTACCCAACAATCTCCACCTCGTGCATCCAATGATAATTCTCATCCTCCTCCCACTTTAAATTTTGAGAATCCCATTGAACTAGAAATTGTCATTCCACCAATATCTCCTTCTCCATCGGTACGGCTAGAACCCAATAATACCTCCAACAATCCAAGTGTCCAGCCTACCTCCACTCAAATTCAAACCCGTTCAAAAAAAGGTCACTCTCGCCCAAAATCATTTCCTGATATCAAATTATTCTACAATACCCGACATCCTTTGCAAGCTTTTTCTGCATTCTTGGATACTCCTGAACCAACATCCTACACTCAAGCAGTTTCAGATCCACAATGGCGTGCTGCAATGGGAAGGGAATTTGATGCGTTGATGAAAAATGGGACGTGGTCTCTATGCCCTCACCCACTTAATAAACACATTGTCAGGAACAAATGGGTATACAAAATTAAGAGGAGATCAGATGGCAGTATTGAACGTTATAAGTCCAGACTCGTGGCCAAAGGGTATGATCAAAAGAGTGGTGTGGACTATCATGAAACTTTTTCACCAGTGATTAAGCCAACTACGATTCGACTAGTTTTGGCTATTGCAGTTCATTTTCATTGGCCCATCCGACAATTGCATGTGTCGAATGCATTTCTACATGGGCTTCTAGATGAAGAGGTGTTTATGGAACAACCAAGAGGTTTTGTTGATGAAACCAACCCAAACTATGTTTGCAAATTACACAAGTCTCTTTATGGTCTTAAACAAGCCCCTAGAGCTTGGTTTTGCAGATTATCACAGCAAATTATTGAGGTTGGTTTTCAAGAATCTGTCAATGACTACTCTCTGTTTACTCTACATACTGATGATGTCATAATTTTTGTCTTAATATATGTAGATGATATTTTGGTGACAGGATCTAACGTCTCAGAAATTACCAAACTCATTCGACATCTGCAGAGTATTTTTCATGTCAAGGATCTTGGTTCTCTGTCTTATTTTTAGGTGTGGAGGCTGATAGGAGCTCACAAGGACTACATTTACATCAAACCAAGTATATTTGTGATCTTTTATACTGGACTCAAATGACTGGTGCCAAGCTACTTGCATCGCCTACAGTGGCCAGTGCCAAACTGTCCAGTATAGAAGGAGACTTAATATCTGATCCTTCTACTTATCGACACATCATTGGGGCACTACAATACTGCACAATAACATGTCCTGCTATTTCTTATGCTGTTAATCAACTATGTCAACATATGCACCAGCCAAGAACTCCACAGTGGCAGGCTATGAAGCGAGTTCTTCGCTACTTAAAGGGCACTGTAAATCATGGGCTATTCTACACACCATCTCCTCTACACTTACATACCTACTACCACTCGGACTGGGCAGACAATGCAGACGACAGAAGGTTTACTAGCGGCTATGGCGTTTTTCTGGGCAGAAATTTGGTTTCTTGGAGCTCCAAGAAACAAAATGTGGTCTCTCGTTCGAGTACCAAAGCGGAGTACAGATCAATGGCACTTACTACAGCTGAAGTATACTGGCTCATAATGCTTTTCAAAGAATTGGCTATTGGTCTAGTTCACACACCAACTATATGGTGCGATAACATTAGGGTAATTGCACTCGCTTCAAATCTGGTGTTCCATGCTAGAACGAAGCACGTAGAAGTTGACTATCATTTTATTCGGGAAAAAGTTCGCAACAATGATATTAAAGTCCAACATGTCTCAGCCGTGGATCAAATAGCGGATGTCTTCACCAAAGACCAAACTGCACAACGTTTTCAATATCTAAAGAGCAAATTAATGGTCTGTCAAAATCCCATTAATTCGAGGGGGGTGTTAGACTATCAACATCTTCAGAATCTTCAGCAGAAAATCCAAGAGCATCTGCACCCAGTCTTCACTCCATCCATTCTGTTACTGATTCAAAATGATCCAGCTGTTGGCGTAACCTTCTCCTACAAATCTGTATATGATTGTTTCCTCATTTTGAATTAGATTGATTTCCTTATTATACGCATGATAGCTCAAATGTCCAGATATAAATATAATGAAAAACCACGGCTTGAGTGTGTTAGCCAAGCCAAAGATATTTCATCCTTCTGCTAAATTATTAAGAGTTTACACAGATTACCCCAAAATAGTGAACAGTTTTTAGATCCAGACCAGTTTTACCCACAGTTTTGTACTGTTCCATCGGTCTAAAGCGGGTTTTATGCCTTTTACGGTTTTCATGTTAACTCATACCAGAGTTAAGGTCGGGTCCCGGTCAAACCGACTGATCCGGTCCAGGTTTTAAAACAGAGGGCCAGATCTCATCGACGCCGGCGTTAACAACCCTCCCCATCACCCAGAAATTACTCCTCTCTTCCTCCCCACCAAAACCCACCTCACCCCTTGTTAGCCTTGCCAATTGCCGGCAAAATCCGGTTGTTATTGCTGCCAGTTTTGTTCGATTTTTGATCGATTTACTCACCAGAAATCAACTTTGTCACCACCATTGCATTCACCGGCACTTTCTCTTCAAAAGCCCCAACATCCCGATCGTCAATTGTTCGCCGATCATCTTCCAAAATCCTAGGGTTTTGGGTGAATAGGAAAAATGTAAACCTGGCCCGTTGAAGCTTCCAGGTCTCAGTTGAATAGGCTAAACCGGCCAGGTCAGGCCGGGTTTTAAAACATTGGCTCATTTATCAAAAGTTTTAGTGAGCACATCTTTGTATGGCAGTCTTTAACATTTTTTGTTCCTAAAAAAAAAAAAATTCACTTTACTCTCGAGTCTTTAACATTAAAGCTATGTTTTAAAACCCGCATAAGACCGATTGGTCCGACCGGGACCCAATTGCTTCTCTGGTCCGGTTCAGGTTTTAGGGGATTTTTTGTAATGTTTCAAAATTATAGGGACTAATTGTAATTTTTAGGGGTGTTTTGGAGATATGTCAAAAGTTAGGGATTACTTGGTAATTTTTTGGGATACTTTGAAATAAATAAAAAATTTAGGGACTAATTTGAAAAATTTTAGAGGTATTTTTGCAATATACTAAAATTTAAGGGATTGATATGCAATTTTTTAAAAATAAAATTATTGCTGGCATCACTGGTCCAACTGGTTCGACCGATTGACCCATGACCCGGGTAGCAGAATGGGTTGCCCTCTAGTCCAGGTTTTAAAACAGTGCATTAAAGTGCAAAGAAATGGGAAAAAAAAACCTGTGTTTTCAATTGTACGCATTTTAAGCTCAAAACCACATTCCACTAGGGGTGGAAACGAGCCAAGCTGAGCTTTGGTTGTTCAAACTCATCTCAGCTCCCACATTGTTGAGCTCGACACAGTAAAAGCAAGCTCTAGATCGAGGGGGCTCGAGCTCAGCAAAAGCTCGTGCATGCATAAAGTTGGGTGTTCGTTGGGGCAATTCTTAAAACACCTAGTGTGCACAAAGCAGTAGGAAAAAAGGTCAAAAAAAATCATTCAATCAACACAAAAACGCTTCAATTCAACCAAACACTCCAAAGAAACAAACTGTTTCGCCCCAACAACTTCAAAATTACTCCAATCAAAACCCAAACACAAAATCACACAAGACTTCTAGAAGTAGCCAACGACGATCGAAGAGCAAACTGGGTCCTGGCTATTAGGATTTTGAAAAGGGGAGGCCAATGAATCTTTTGGTGGTGGCAGGTTGGAATTTGGTGGTAGCAGTTGGTCAGAATCTGACTTGAGAGGAACGGCCGCTCGTTCCAGTAATTACTCGATTGTTGACGATTTGTGGGTTCAATGAGAACGATGGAAGAGGGGGTTTGGTAAGGGAAGATCAAGGAAGCACATGATGGTGACGGGGGGTCGCAACAATTCCAGAATCTGTCGATGGGCACAAAAAGGACAATCACGCGATTTGTGTAAGTTGATTAATAAGATAAAAAACCGTTGTAGCTTCTAAACCTAGAACAGAGATGGTGGGGATCGACAAGTGATGGATGATTGGGGGTAAATGGAGGTGGCAATAGATGGTGGGGTGGCTAGGTGCAGCTGGTCGCACAATCACGAGGCTTCACGGCATGAAGGAGAAGAGGATTGGAGCAATGGCTTGGCGTAAAAGACAGATGGGTTTAGGTTTTAGTGTTGATTGTTCAGGGTGTGTTTGTCAATTTTCAAAACTATAAAATAACTATCGTCCCCTATTAGTTTCAAAAATCACATATACCCTCGAACTCCCTGAAACGTACGAGCTTTTCAAGCTGAGCATTGACTGTTCAAACTCAGCTCGCCTGCATGAGCTGAGTCGCTCGTCTTGCAACTCAACTCCTTTGACACCCCTACACTCCACCACACTCCAAATCTTTCTACAATTTCATTTTTCTTCGGCATCCATTTCTTCCATAATCCATGATTGTTGATGAAAATTCAAGTTTGAATGGCGTTAAAAGGAATTTAAATGAGCTTGTTTAAAAAACCTTATTGATTTGAAACGTGTTAACAGTAATTATGTTGAACAAATATATCCTTCATATTAATTCTTGAAGGTTGTTAAGAATGGTAATTGTAATGCAATTCTTCTATACATAATATTTGAACAATAATATTATACTTATAAAGAAATCTTACAAAAATTTTCATATAAAGTGAAGTGACAAAAAATGAATAGAAGAGTAAAACAAAAAATCAAACTTATTAAATTCACTCTTCCATTCATTTTTTGACATATCACTTTATATGGAGATCTTTATAAAATTTCTTTTTAAGTGTAATATTACTCATATTTGAATACTTTCATTTTTAGAGCGTTGTTCTCAAAATCATGTGAAAATTGCAAAACTCTTACGTTAAATCAAATCCCCCAAAGAAGGAATGATGAGATTCAATAAATAAAAATAAATATATTATATCAAACTATTCGAACCACATGCATGGAGTGCATGACAGTTTATGAATCTATCAGGAAGACCCAGATTATTGGCAAAAATTTAAGATACAGGTTGATTCACTACCACATTTCAATATTCCCTTCTACCTTGTAAGATGGGGTGGCTCCTCTCTCTCAAGACTGTTTTCAGAAACCCAAAAAAAAAAAAAAAAATTGCTACTTCCACAACATATGGCAAAAGAAAAAAATTTACTTCCAAGCTTTGTTAAAATTTCCGGATCTTTTAGCCAAATAATTGAATCTCTACCTTTCAAAACTTCAGGATGTTAATTTAGTTTTTGTTTTCTGCTTTTGTTTTCTTCTTCTTGGAATCTAAGGATGTTAAACCCTTGCCCAACCCGGCAGGAGGTTGACCACCTTGCTCTGATGATGATATATCCTTTTTGGCATCTGCTGCTGCTGGGTCATTCGAAGGATCGCCGTTGGCTTCCTTCTTTGGGACATCAGTGGCCCCACTACCATTGGCATCAGGGGTAATTCCCGAGTTTATGATGTTAAGGAGCTGAGTAAGTGGCGGTAAAGCTTGGGCTGGAAGACCATGTGGGCGAATCAAGAGACCCTTTGCTGCAGCTTTTTTTCTTACTTCAGCTGCTGCACGAGCAGCCCTTTCATCAAATCCCCTTCCTCGAGGAATGGTCTCACCAAGTACTGCTGCATTAAGTGAATTGTTGACAGTAGTACCAGAACCTCCAGACCCTCCAGCCGCGGCTACAGCTTGGAAAGCATGTATCAAATCAGGATTGGCCTGTCAATGCAAAGTTCTCAAATCAACATGGCCACAACTGATCACAACATTTCTTAAGATAAAGATTTAATTATTGATAAGAAACAAAAAAATAAATAAATGAAGAGGGATGCCAGCATGGGATCAAGTAGGTAAATAATACCTTCAAGATATCAATAGCCTTTTGTGTCGAAGCTGTATTAAACGCCTGTCCTTTCTGTTTTTGTACATTCATCTGAGACAAGAAATTTAAGAATTCAAAAACCAAAAAACGATAAGAGGAGAGGGAGCACTATCCATTCTCTATCCTCAAAAATCAATGGTTTTGGAGCTGGGATCTGTTTAGAATGCCAGAATTAATAACTATTCTCCAAGTAGTCAAGTAGGGGTTTTCATAACACATGAAATGATGAATTTTAAAAAATTAGAAAAAAGAAATGCAAAGCAAATTATAATGTAATCATTCCTAATAATTTCTAGAAACACTTCCGCAAACAAAATATGGATATCCTTGCTGAAAAGGCAGGCACTGCATGTTTTCCAACTGACACAGTTTCTTTACTTCTGAAAACAAAAACTACTATAAAAACAGAGGCTGAATAAGGAAAAAAAACAACAAATATTCATATATATACGGACAGAGACTAGGGGTTCATCTTTCTCATTTCTGTTGCTCTAAGATGCTATTACCTGAACTTCCCGCATCTTAAATGTCTTCATCCAATTTTGTGAGTCTTTTGTTCTGGAATCCTCCTCACCAAGTTGTTTGACAAGTATATCATAGGTTTTCTTTTCATGCTGATAATAACAAAAGCTCAAATCAGTCAGCTGCATTTGATAGCAGTTCACTATAAACCAGACAAATAATTCCTATAAGACAAACCTGGTGAGACAGTTTGAAGGCACCCATGCAGTTGAATGCGATGGCAAGGGCATGATAGCACACAGCGGTCTGTATATGCTCCTCACCTAGAAGCCTCTCATTCTTTTTCAAGGCCTCTTGCAAATAACGGAGAGCTGTGTCCATCTTCCCAATGTCCTGGTACATCATTGCAACATTAATGAAAGTTGCAGCCACATCAGGATGATCTGGGCCAGATGAAAGACTCAGCAAGAGCAATGCCCGGGACATGTGCCGTAGTGCAAGCTCTGTTTGGTTAAGTCCATGATAGAAAAGAGCCATATTGCCATAGCTGCAGAACATATCAAAGACCAAAATGAGTTGACAATTTGCCCAGAAAAGATGAAATGAGAGGAAAGTTATGCTGATGGTTGGAAGTGAAGTTCAAAATCATTCTATCACAACTGACATGAAAATGCCTCACATTTTACACAATTTAAAGGATACATGTAAAATTTTATCAGATGTTTGCCTCCATTTATGAACTTACAACTTCATTTAGTTCATAATAATTAATCATAGGCATAAAAATTTCAAGATCTAAAGTAACTCCATTCTGAAGTTAATATTAAAGAAGATAGTACATGGCTAAAAACTCACTAAACAATATGAGGATAGTAAACAAAATGAAGATAGCAAACATAATGACTAGTACCTGTGAGCAGTATCAGGGTGGTCAAGACCCAAGCAACGTTCATTTATAATTAGTTCCTTGTGCTGTTGCATAATGGCTCCAGCCATGTCTCCTGCGTGATACAAAACCATGGCAAGGTACCTGAACATTTGAGAAAGAGTTTCAGCACACTGCCACAGATACATCAAGCAGCACAGTTTATTAACTATGAAAGCAACAGTGTTAACATAAACAGTTACAATAGTTGACTTTTTCAACATGACAACCTTGGATTTTTGAAAAACTTAGCCCAGTTTGCTCATTGATGCATAAAATCTAAGCCTGAACTCAGCATCAAGCTCATCTAAATAAATGATCCCAAACCTAAACTCCTGCTTCCCTTCACAAGCCGGCTTAGTTATCTATAGTACTGCTAGTGTTTTAATTCTACTCAGTAGGATCCAAGCAAATCATATTTCATTGAAAATAATAATGCCACTTTCTGAATTTTTAAAATGACTCTTTTGAACATAAAAAATATAAGGGATGGGAAGACATGGCTCTATAAAAATGGTCCTTCACTCATTCTCATAATTTGAAGCAGTCATTTAACGGCATGCAACAGCATGGGGGCTACCTTGTTCCCAGGTTTCTGGAACAATTTTGTTTTCAATAATTATATTGGTTACATCATATTATTTTCAAAATTCTTCATCGGATGTGAAGACCAGGGGATTTTATGCTCCATTTGTCTTAAACATAAACCTAGCATACAGGCATCCTAGCTTTCAGCTGTAAATTTCAAGCCCATGAGTTGAGCTAAAGCTCCAGGCTCTAATAATTAAGATATTCAGGTTACTAAGTTCAACTCACCTGCAGTCCTAGCTACAATAGAAAGTATGGGTAAACAAGCATGATTATGATGATTCTAATATGAAGCTAGCATGTGTAGAGGTAAAAAAAAATTGCATAATGATTGAAGTGAGGTAACTACCGACAGCAGTTGGCAACCTCCCGATGCATTGGACCAGTCACCTGAAATCCATTCAAGAAAGAAATGAGAATATACACACACAATAATCTTTGAAAAAGCACATAACAAAAAGTGATGAACATACCTGTTGAAGTATTGAAAATGCCTCAGAAAACAATGTGTAGGCTTCACTAAGCAGACCCTGAGACAGAAAGTGGCAGAAGTTAACCACATTTATCTCCAAAAAGATTATCAGATCATGTTCGGCTAGCAGCGCTTGGATCAGAGTTCTACATATCACCATGCAGTAGCAAATCTTAATATAGCACATAATTCACGTGACTGAAACCATTATGTACAATTAACATATTACTAAATATCATTAACTTCCACACTATTGATATAATTCAGAATTTCAAATGTATGCTTATTAATTTAACAAATAATGATATGTCAGCAATCTGATCCAAACATGTATTATGCCAGCTATAAGAAATATATGGCTTAATTCCACTACTAGAACAATGTTCAGGAGTTCCCTCAGTTACTTTAATATACTTCTGAAATCAAGTATTCTTCAATTTCTAAATTTGACAAAGTTGATAACTCCAAATTATGGATCCCTTGCCGAGGGTCATGAATAACGTAACAGAGCACAATTACCTCAGATAATTGAGCTTTCCCCATTTCAACAAGGTTCTTAGCTTCAGAACATACAGGAACTGAATGCTTCACTACTGGCTGGAGATTAAGGATATCTGAAGTTTGGAAAGGTGTTGCAGCATTGAAATCATATTTGCGAGCTGCAATGCTTATGCCCACCTATTAAAGAACCATATTTAAGATAGAAGCTCAAACTCAAGTCCAGAAGCACATTCAAGACAAAACAAATTAGAACATAAATTTAAGTATACGAAACATAAGTAGTAGACAGAAGGCAGATACCAAGGTATTAAAAAGTATGTGAAGCTCATGCTATATTGCAACTATAGCTAATACTGACAAGTTAATAGAGATGCAACACAACATGCATTAAATATGAAGAAACCAACAGCTTGTGGCAAAGGCAAAATTATATTGGCTCAATCCACAACCATTGATCAAGAAATCATCTAAAGGAAAATTTAGTAAAGAAGTGCTTAAAATATTTGGCAAAAGAATTGCCGGGAGGCAGACAGCCCAACTAATGTTTCAGCATGTTCAACCATGCAGATATTTTTAATGTTCAGCAAAGTGTCACCATAATGATCCAATCATTACATTAATCAAGATTGAAAAAGCATCTTTTACAATCTTTTAATTTCTAGAGGCTTCTTTGTTACAATTGAAAAAAAATAAAAAAATTTATCTCTTGACTCTCATACATATCAGGCCTGCCCTGATGGGTCTCAAGACCATTCCATTCACCAAGGGAAAATAATAGCATGTGAACAGCAATTATATAATATTCTGAAAGAACAGAGAAGCCCGATTGTAAAAACAAAGTTTGTAACCCGAATATTACAGAGTTATCAAAATACCTTTTGGCAAAGATTACGCATAACTGAGACTTTCTTTACTCGCAATCTTGCATCCTCAGGCAACTCAAACTACACCAAACAGAGATTCGTTTAGTTTGAAACATAAATCAAACACATAACCAGCAATAACATCACAAAGTGTACATGGCAGAGATTCCCAGAGATCAAGATTACAAGGAACATGCCAGTCTAACAAACATTCATCCTTCATCCCTAATCCAAACTTGACATTTTTGAAAGAACATCTCCCCATGCAATCATAATTTTCAAAACTTAAGATAAGCAAGGTGGAAAGAAATGAACTCATTCTTAACCAAATGAATTTAAACAGCTTCCAACTTCCAAAGGATGTCTCATACTCCTATAAGCATCTTTTAGAAATAAGAATTTAATACCTGATATTTCGACTTCGCAAATTCTTTGAGGTCAGACCATAGACTTTCTGAGCTAATATTCATATAAGAGGAATGATGCTTTGTAGCAGAAGCTTTAGATTTCCACCTGGCTTGGCCCTTAGAGGACTTGCCTGCAGACTGATGGCTCGCCTGGTCCTGTAAATACTTGAAAATAAATTACAAAGTCCAGTCTTAAGGTTAACCTAGAAAATGAAATTGAAAAAATAGATATAAAACTAATTCAAAAAAATAAAAATAAAAATTGAGCATACTGAACATTTTTCCGATAAATATGCTGGTTCAACAAAACACTTCTTTTACCATGAAAAAGCTTCGGTATACAGTTTGGTGTAATACTACAGAGTCATTATAAAGAGAAAAAAGTACGGAACCCCAAATCTGCATATAAGAGCTTAGCACAAAAACATATATGGAGAAAACTACAAAAGGAAGGATACAAGTCACATACTTTCTTTTGGGTTTTGGACTGCATACTATTAGCAGCAACTTTGCCCCCAACAGTTTGACAACTTCCAAAGAAACAGTTGAAAAAATGTGCAAGTGCTGGGCCAAGATCATGATCCTCTATATCTCTTAAAACATCCTGCATAACCAGAAATGGGTAGCAAAAAGGTAAACCCCCGGTAAACAAACAAAATAAAATCGAAGACGGGGTCTGCACAATAACTGTTCAATATTAATCAATTCTACATGCCAAAAGAACAGAATAATAGTTTCAAGTTCAAGTAAGCAACAAAATCAAACTGTTTCTTTAACTATTTTACTTGGGACTTCAAAGTGCTAAAACCAAAACCTCCAACAACTGTGTAGTTTGTGAAAAATGATACGAACAAGAAATGGCTCACACTTGATTCAAAATCCATGTCTATATTTAAACTACACACATATTTAACAATTTCAGTATATAGATCAACGCCACACCTCAACCTCCAATTACTTTCACAAAAACTTCATTAAAAATTATAAAAATAAATAAAAACAGATACTAAAACCCTTCCAAGGATCAACTAATGTTGAAGTAGATAAGAAATGAAATCACCTTGATGATATGCTTTGCGGACCTGACTACAATTTCGTTAGAACAGAGATCCCATAGATGTGGTAAATGCTTGGTCCCATCAGCTACCTGGCAAAATTACTCGTGTTAAAACACATGCAGAAAAATCAAACGGAAAAGGAAAGAGCTTACCTGTGTGCCATCAACTAGATTCCTTTTTGTAGGGTAAAATAAATAGCTCAAGGGTTTAGGGTTTCAAAGCATCAACTAAAACATATAAAACTTACTTTCCCAATATATCGAATATTAATTCCATGAGCATGCAGTGCTTCAGTCAGTGTCTGGCCATCCATTGGTGAAGCTTCAAGTGTGCAAAGGTCTTGTATAAATTTTGGAAGCACAACATTTGCAAGGTAAGAACTAACTTTCCTTACATTTTCTTCATCTCCTGTTATCTCCTGGAAAAACAAAGGAAACGAGCAACATAAAAGAACTTCAGCATATCAAACCATTGAATAGAAAAGAACATTTTAAGTTTTTAAACACACCTCTTGACTCCCAGCCAACTTAAATTCAGTTAAAACATTGGGGTTAAATTGTATCTCCTCGCATGATTCAGAACTTTCTATAGGTGTAGAAGCACATTCTTGGACAGCCTCAATCTTCTCCTCTTTTGTTGTATCCTAAGGATCAACAAGATGAGCCACATGAATCAATTTATTTGGATTCACTTAACAAATATATCTTGAGTAGACATTGTAAATAAAGTACATCATGTCTTAATCTGAGAAGGGTAAATGGTGTTGGAATAAAGGAAACCTATACTCATATACATGTGGGTGAAAAAAAAAAATCCCTGGGCTAAGCAATTATGTAGAAAGCAGTGTGATACATATTACTGATTTGGAAATTATGCTTTTAATGGTAAGTAACCATTAAAAGATTTGGTTAATTACATATTTAATATATTTAGCATTGTATATTGCAATCTTGTTATGCTAATAAGTTCTTAATTGAAGCTGTGGTTCACTGTGCATATTGTGCTGGAGACTGCTTTATGGCTTAACTTACTTTTTAAGAATTTATAGATAGTTTTAAAATTGATAATTTAATTATTGTTAAGGTGGTTGCTGTGTGAAAAACTAATTTTCCACATCAAATGGGTCAAATACTATACTGAACAACATCTATTCTTGTAAGACATTAGTGTAAGTGTTTTCTTTATGCCCTTTATTCCGCATCTTTTTAACTCTATATATGTTGTTGGTATCAGAGCTTGTGTAAAGCTTGCAAGAACTAGAGTGGTGAAGGATCAAAGTCGTGAAATTGGATATATGCCGGGTACTTTTTAAATCTTGAAGCACTGATGGTTGCTTTACTAGAGCCTAGAAGTTCATCATTTTTGTTTCAATACGTTTAGATCTGGGTCCATCTCTTGCCTGCTTGCAAACGAATGTTGTATCTGCATCTTCTTATGCATGATTGTCTAACATACACCCAAGTTTTTTCAGTTGTGAGTTTTTATGTCAGAGATCCGAGTGTGCATGCATCCTGGAATGTTTACTGTTCTTTTCTTACTTTGGTTATGCGAGTTTACTTTAATGTATCTTCAGGAGTTGACAAACAACGAAACTTTAAAGGTCTTCAGAAGCGGCGGAGCAGTCTGATGGAAATCAACCTGGATCTTTATGTTACCATCAAGGTTAATCTCTTAGCTTCTTATGTTTGTATTATGTCATACAGTTAGAGTGAGTTTTTTTGTTACTTGTTAAATTGCAAACCTTTGTGGTATTCTTTTTAATCCTGCAGTTCAGGGAAGATCCTGTTTTCCGTAGAGAAGGTGCTACATTCATGTAGATGCGTTTGGAGTGTCACTCAGGTAAACTGTTTTCTTGTATTTTCTTGGCTTTACAAAGAATGAGATGCTATCTATGAAGATCTCAAGAGTGTGTGATATCTAGTTCTTCATAAATTTTGTCTTCCTTCTTGTACTGAAGCCGTGGGATTTCCTTCTTAACTTAAACAGTGTGCTTTTTTTTTTTTTAATTATGTGTCCTATAATCTCTTTAATATATTGAAGTCCATTGGATTGTTATTGTACAGGCGATTTTGGGAGGAACCATTCAGTCCCAACCTAACCGGAGATGTTGTACTAAGGTTTGTTGAAATCTTATGGATTGACCATCTTATATGACTGGTTTCTGTAAGATACTTTTTTCTTCCATCTGTTGTTGTGGTAAAATAAAATTTATATTATATCTGCGTACGCCCTGGCACCCACCAGGTCAGAAGGTGGTTCTGAAGAGCAAAGGTTGTAATATTACATTAATGCTTCCTTTTATTATTTATTCTTTACATGGTTTCTCATGCGTATTTTGTCCTTTTGAAGATCGTTTCTGATAATGTGTTTATTTTCTCTGCTTCAGGATGTTATCAAATGCAATACGCCAATTATCTGACTATTTTATGATTGTTTTTGTCTTTCAGGGATTAAAACAAGAAACTCTTTTGCATTTGGCGATCATATGTGCACTACAATGTCAGCATTCCACGTAAGTCTATGTTTTCAGACAGTATTTTACACTTTGATAGTATCTGTACCCATCCCCAAATTTAGCTGACATCATATTTGCTTCTGTGTCAATGTCTTATTTGTAAGCGTTTCCATGTAGGAATCTGACCCAGAGACAACGTCAATTGATTGAAGAGTTTGCCAAAAAGAGCAAGGTGAATACGATAGGCATGCTGCTGCTGGAGCATCCAGATGAAACACCAATCCAATCGATCAAATTCTTTGGTGTCATTTTAGTCCCGTTTTGTGGAACAAAAGGAATAGGAGGAAAAGCAAGTAACCTCATGGTAATCCACCTGCTTTGAAAGTTTTATAGGAGAAATTTGAGTTGGATTTGACCTATTTTTTATTTGTAACGCATGTAATATTTATTCCCAAAACAGATAATACAAATTATTTTGAGTTCCAACACTCGATCAATTGCACCCAGTGGGCTTTGTACAAATTTATCATAAATGTAGTACTGAAAACCTAAGGCCAAGGGGTAATTTAGTCTTAAGGGGCATTGGGTTCGCGGTAATGTCAGATTATTAGGGTAATGTCATCTTATATTATTTGATTACTACGTTTGGTTGTCAAGTAATATAAGATTCCGGTAATCTTCAAATATCATATAATTACTATTGGTATATTTGGAGGTAATCTGATTATCTTCATTTTCTTAAGTATTCAGAGATTACTAGGGTTCATTTTTTATTATAATTTATTTCTTATTAATAAATTTTGGACAAAATGTCCTCATTTTAAAATAAATTTACATTAATATCTTATTTTAATTTTACCCTTATTTAACTAAAATTTTGGACAATAATGTCCTTATATTAACAATTTACATACCACCACTGTCACTCAGCCACCACTGTCCCCCAGCCATCACCGTCGACAGCGGACACACCACCACGGACTGTCGTTGAAAACTCGTCGGAGTCTCTGAAAAAAACGAGTTTCGATGGGAGGCTTCGATATGGCCGTTTCCGGCCTATCAAGCCAGATTTAGCCGGAAATGGCCAAATCTATTCTGGCCATTAACTGCCATTCGAAGCCTCTTGGTCACGGTGAGTTGTTAATGGGGACTTTCGGAGACTTACAGTGGTGGTCTGCGTGGGCGGCAGAGATGGGGGTGATTTCGTAAAAATTAAAGTTTTACATAAGCAGGGTATTTTAACTAAGAGTAATGCTATACGTACTCACGATCTTACTACCTTTGTTAAAATTACATAGGGTACTCGTATTATGCTTATGATACTCGTACTATGCTTTATATTTACAAAGGTTAGTAGAGTCGTGATTACGCATAATATTTTGTTTAACCAAATCTGAAATATTGGGGGTTAAAAGAAATTATTCAAAAATGAATATTAAAAAAATATATATTAATATTATAAATAGGACAATTAGTAATTTAAATAACATACCCACCAATTTATTCCCATAACCAACATATTAATATAACATACCCACCAACTAACAAACACATTTCTTTAAAGATTCTTAGTAATCTTTCAAAGTAATCTATCTTTCCAGTAATCCACACTTCCCAGTAATCTAACATTCCTGAACAAACACCCCCTAAATTGTATTTGGTCATTACCTGAAGCAATCTCATTTCAATGTTTTAAACCCCACTTGGTGAAACTCAGGCAAAGTTGCTGGGTCTTGGGTTGATCGATTGACAAAAACTTCTAAAATTAGCAAAAACACCTCTAAAAATTATAATCAAGTTCTATAAGTTTGAAATTTAGCAAACACCTCTAAAAACAAATCGGTCGTGATGGTTGGCGGTGGCAACACCCCAGATGCAATTTCAATCGTCCTTTGAGTCAATTTCCCTTAAAATATATCTAAGACCTGATCGAAATAGATTCGATTTTGGCTAGATCTCATCTCATCGACGCCAGCGTTGGCATTCCAAGTAGATAATTGTTTTAAACTGGACCGCTCCTTAACCCGGTCAAGGCTGGTTCTCGTTGACTGGTCCAACCGGTTGGACCGGCCAGTCTGATCGATATACAACATACACATCTCTGAATAATTTTTCAGTCCTTATAAGTTTGAAACTTGCAAATGTACCCTAAAATGGCGCATGGTCCCTGTATGTATGAAATATCCTGCAGCTTTTATTATTATTATTTTTTTCTCTCTCCCTATCACTTTCACCTTTGTCCTTTTTTTCTCTCTCCCCATAAATTTTCTTCTTTCTCCTTTTTTTTCTCTCCCCGTCACTTGCTTCTTTCTCTATCCATTTCCCTCTTTCTCTGGTAATTTTTTTTTCTCTTCTCTTTCTTCTTTCTTCTTCCTTCCTCTTTCTCTTCGTCTCCTCTTCTCTTTCTTCTAATCTTCTTTCCTCTATTCTCTTCGTCTGCTCTTCTCTTTCTTCTCCCTTCCCTTCCCTTACTTCTTCTTCTTTAAACGTAGATTTTAGAGTAGTGAAAGAAAATGAAGACGAAAATAGAAGATGTAATTTGGTCTTTGGAGATGAAATGTATTGAAATAAAATGGAGAATGTTTGCTGGCGTAATGAAATCGAGAATGAAACGGTGCTGCAATTTGGTTTAGGAATTGGGATCATATTACCCCAAAGTGAATCGTTTTAAAATCCAGACCGGTTTTACTCGCGGTTTTGTACTGTTCCACCGGTTTAAAGTGGGTTTTATGCCTTTTACGGTTTTCATGTTAACTCAGACCAGAGTTAAGGCCGGGTCCTGCGTCATGATCGATCCGATCCAGGTTTTAAAACGAAGGCCAGATCTCATTGACCCGACGTTGACAACCCTCCCCATCACCCAGAAATTACTCCCCTCTTCCCCACCCAAAACCCACCTCACCCCCGTTAGCCTTGCCAAGCCGGCAAAGCCGGTTGTTGTCGCTGCCAATTTTGTTCGATTTCTGTCGATTTACTCACCAGAAATCAATTTCGTCACCACCATTGCATTCACTGACACTTTTTCTTCAAAAGCCCCAACATCCCGCCGTCAATTGTTTGTCAATCATCCTCTAAAATCCTAGGGTTTTGGGTGAATAGGAAAATATAAACCAACCCGTTGAAGCTTTCGGGTCTCGGCTGAATCGGTTAAATCGTCAGGTCGGGCCGGTTTTTAAACATTGGCTCATTTATCAGAAGTTTTAGTGAGCACATCTTTGTATGACAATCTTTAACATTTTTTGTTCCTAAAAAACAAAAATTCACTTTACTCTCGAGTCTTTGACATTAAAGCTTTGTTTTAAAACCTGGATCAGACCGACTGTCGGATCGATCTGCCGGGACCCAGCACTTCTCTGGTTCGGTTTAGGTTTTAGGGGTTTTTTTGTAATGTTTCAAATTTATAGGGACTCATTGTAATTTTTAGGGGTGTTTTGGAGATATGTCAAAAGTTAGGTTTTGGTAATTTTTGGGTATTTAAAATAATAAAAAATTTAGGGACTAATTTGAAAATTTTAGAGGTATTTTTGCATATATAAAAATTTAGGGATTGATATCAATTTTAAAAAATAAAATTTTGCTGACATCACTGGTCCACCGGTTGACCAGTTGACCCATGACCCATAGCAGAATGGGTTGCCCTCTGGTCCAGGTTTTAAACAATGCATTAGCAAAGAATGGGAAAAAAAAACCTTTGTGTTTTCATTGTACCCATTTAACTCAATACCACATTCCAAGGGGTGGAATGAGCCAAGCTGAGCTTTGGTTGTTCAAACTCGCTCAGCTCCCACATTGTTGAGCTCGACACAGTAAAAGCAAGCAAGCAGCTCTAGGTCGGGCTCGAGCTCAGCAGAAGCTCGCATGCATAAAGTTGGGTGTTCGTTGGGATTCTTCGAACACCTGGTGCACAAGCAGTAGGAAAAATGGGTCAGAAAAAATCACTCAATCAACACAAAACACTCCAAAGAAAACAAACCGTTTTCGCCCC